ATCTGTGGGGATAGTTGTGTTCGTGCTGAAGCAGCAGGAAAGGAAATCAGCAGAGATATTTTATGGTCCCTGTCTGACTGCTGACTTAGGAAGAGCTTCACCGTTCCGTATCCTGACCTCTACTGCTGCTGTGGAAATCCCAACTCTGACCCCACATCAGCACTTAGGACTGATTTCACCCCCACTGAGAAGCTGTAAGAATCCCAAAAAAAAAAAAATGGAAACAGGCCGGTGCCCAGATCTGGGGCAACACTGCCCCCCAATGGCTCAGACATGGAGGTGTGTCTGGTAGAAATGACGTAAGGCCGGGCTGTGTCAGTGAATTTGGTGGTGTAGGAAAGGTGCAAGGTGTAAATCTTGTTGAGGTTTAAGTGTAAGCCCTTCAAGTGAGGCTGATGTTATTTGATATCGTGTTCCATCAAACAATAAATCGTACAATATCTGAAAACATAGGATGAACCGCCAGTTTTTAGGTGCACCTAACTGAAACTAATCCTTTCCTCGTGAAGGTTATATTATTCAGTGTTCGGTGAAACTGTTTTAGAGTGGTATTGATCCAACTTTATGGTCACTTTGGAGGAAGAAGTTTGTGGTGCTGCTGAGCTTTATTGCAATATACAGAGTGGTGCTTCTGTTATTTAGCCTGCTCGCACTGCAGACAAGAAAAAAAGCACCTATTAGTGAATGCTTTGTTTAATTGAGAGAGAAACAAAATGCGTTATTTGTGAAAAGGCCAGAATCTTAGCTTTAAAACTGTATGCATGGCTACATAACACCTGAGGTAAATAATTGCAAATGTTTTTGAGTAAATTGACCTTTTAAACTAGAATATAGTGCTTTGGAGAATAAAAGTCCCTTATAGTGAGAGCTACTACATTGGAAGGAACAGCTAATAAGCTGATATAAGTTAGTAGTTAAAGTCACTCTCTAGTCATTGAACAAAGTCTTTAAAAATTTGGTTTCACGTTTAGAAGTTTTGGGCTGCAAGGTGGCGCAGTTGGGTAGCACTGTTGCCTCGCAGCAAGAAGGTTGCCTGTCCAGGGTGTCCCCTGCCTTCACCCTAAGTCAGCTGGAATAGACTCCAGCCCCCCTGCGACCCTAGTGAGGATTAAGCGGTGTACAGCTAATGGATGGATTTGGAAGTTGTTGTTTTTTTCCATTAAAACAATCCCTGTAACTCTGCACTGTTGCTTCCTTGAATATATGCAGATCTATAAAGTCCTCGCCTCTTTCTCCACCCACCTCCCCTGCTAGCTGCAGCACGAGCACACCAGCTCACTTATAACTCTGCTCAAACAAAACTACTCAGCATTGGCGTAACTCAGTCATACGTGTTCAATGCAGAAACAGATTCTGAAAAATAATGATGCAGGAAACTCCTTAGGTTTGTATGAACATATTTTACTACAGTTTTTAAGGTGGAAACCCTCAGCAAACACACTGACTGCTCAGTTCAGTCACGGTGTGACGAATAAGAAACCCCCATGTAGATAAGTGAACAAGGTAAAACACTTGATTTCACCACAGGAAGTCTTTCAGAAGTCATATTCAAAGATGAATCAAGCATAAAAGATTCTGCAGGATGTTCAGAGACTGTATTCGATTTAAGTAACTGTCCAGTTCACCAACCTAACTATGGATGCTGACAATATTAGCAACATGGTCGTTGCACAGGGAGGGAAAACCAAAGTGCTTGAATTCTGGTTTGCTCGTTGCAAGTCCTGCTAACTAACAACCCCCAGCAGGCAGTGAGCAGTGGAGCTGCAGGAGAATTTGACAAATGACCCTAATGGAGACATAAATAAGTTATCAGTGGCTTTATTACCACGATGAGTTTATGTTGAGGCTGTTATGAAACTTACCTTAAAGTATTTTACTTTTCAAAAAAGAGCAACTGCTGTTTCAATACTGTGGGACGATAGCTTGTGCTGGGTATTTTATTAATAAGTAGTCCTACCAGTGTGTTATATTCCAGGCTACAATAATGTGAAGATATTTTAAATATGCACAAATTTACAACTTCAGCCGGGAATTGCAAAACGTTTGCCTGTTTGCTCTTGTTTCTTTGATGTAGTCGGATACATGGAGGCTGTTCTTTGGTCTTGTGTGAAGAGTGTGAATTCTCAATGTCCACAGTGGGACATCAAAACCTCCCTTTCCCCCCTCCCCCCCTAAATTCAAAGCAATATTTTACATGCCTTCTACAGGCAGACATATTTATAGGCTGGAATAGCATGGACCTCTGAGTCCAAGTTAGTCATGGTCGATAATGCAAATTCATTTGTCTGTACTTATGAAAGAGGAATGCTTATGTATAGGAGGCATCATTTCATTACTCTTATTTCTTTGGCTGTTAATTGAGATGTTAGTTGAGGTGAAGGACTTCTAATAAACAACAACGAAATAAAAAAAAGAAATGTACACTTCACAACTGCAGGGATGTAAAAACATCTATTTACACTTAGCAAACGAACTCACTGAAATGTGGAGTCTATGTGATGTATGATTGGATTTTATTATTCACATCTCTCTCCTTTCTGACACCAAACCAATTTCTCCCTTTCTCAGTTTCGTTGGAGGCAGTCGCCAGGTGGGAGAGCACATCTGTACGAGTTAACAAATTACATATTTGCCCTTTGAGAACCCATCTGCTTTGTGTATAAATAATATTTGCCATTTTCTGGTCGGCGTTTCAGGTCCAGGGAACCACAGCAATCAGGACCGGATCGAGATTATGATTGAACGCCCGGAGGTGAATCAAGGAATATATGGAGAAAAGAATAAAAGAAGTATGGAAATAGGCTTTATTATCACCAAACTGTACTTGAACTGTTGACTGTAATCACTGTGGCCTGCATGCTGGGTAATCAGGTAGGTGGTTCTGCATACTAAATAGACTCACACGCTTGTTTCATCCCATACTTTTTTTAAATTAAAACTCTCTAAAGCAATTACGGCTACTTAAGAAACCAAACAACTCGTCAGGTCAATATGAAGCGGCGCTGATATTTACCTTCCTTTTCAGCTTTGCTCTGATTTAGTTTCACATGTGACATTACGATGAGATTTGTAGACATCATCCGCAGTAATAAGGCTCTGTGATCGTTGCTCAATCTGTGTCTCAAGGCCTAGGAAGCATTATGTTTTCTCGCTTCGTCTTTCCTTCTTGTCTGAGGGAGACTGAGCGCATTAATGCGTCTGGTGACCTTTGGCATGCCAGACAGAATTAGAGGAGTCGATCCACACAAATCACACACAGGATTTCACACCTGATTCACAACACTTTCTAACAAAAATCACCCGTTTGAAGTTGAACAGCGGGTGTTACTTTTGGAAAGGATGTGTTGCCCCAGAGTTTTTTCGACATTGTCATTGTGTTGAGCAGCTCCAACGTCATATCGTTGGGGTCAGAGAAATCGACTGAGGTTGTTTCTGAGGCTGATGTTTCAAATATGTGACCCATCTGCATGAAATCAGTCACATTAACGCCTTGGACTATATCCGAAATGCAGCCCGAATTATGTTAACACGTGATAAAAATATTGATTTTGGGTTTATTACTTAGATCGGTCCATTTAGTTGTTTTCTACACGTAGGTAACATATCGCTGTCAAATACAGTCGGGCGCAATGCGAGTGATTTCATTAGATGGGTCACATATGTAGGAACAAAATTTGATGGCGTGGTAAATACTGGCTGAGCTTCCACATGGGGAAATCTGACAAAGATAACACGCCTCATTAAAACAAACTCTTCAGAAATATTCCATATGTATCAAATTGGGTTTCATGAATTTGGAGATAGCTGTGTTTTGATTAAAACAACCAATTTAGATGAGAGTCTAACCCTCCTATTATCTTTGGGATCAATTTGACCCAATTCAATGTTTAGCATGTCTAAATAAGCCATTGACAGATTTTTTTCTGTTTTCTTTAAAGGGCTATTTACACATAAATTTGGGTTGCAATTTTAATTATGATATTTTCTAGAGGTTTAAATTGCTGGGCTCAAACTGAACCCAAGGATAAAAGATGTCAGTAAATTTGAAGGTAATAGGAGGGTTAAGTGGTTGGAGTATTTCCAAAGATGTTGACAGTAACACAAAGCTGAGTGAGCTCTGAACGTTTCTGGTGTTCGATTAAGTGTTGTATCACGTGAATACTGCTAAATCTTCTCATACACCTTGAAATGTAGCTGATAAGGTTTTTGTAAGAAAAGCAGAAAACCGTTTCCAGGTTTATGCAAGATATTCCCTCAAAACAGACACAGTTTAAAGGTTGTCTTCTGTTGTTCGAACCTTGCAGCTATAATTTAACTCATTGTTCATGCTATAAATCAAACTCTGTCCTTTCCAGTCTTTTCTTTTTTGAGTGCTGTAGGTCATACCTAATTTATTGTCTAGGGGATCCTCAGGGGCATGCCTCATAATATTGATTCTTGATGCAGTTTATAGCAGTAATCTCTGCTGGTCCTCATCAATATCTGTTGCACTGTTTAAGAGACAGGCTTCGTTTGCTGTCTACAGTTTCTTCAGGAGCATTCGAGTGCAGTGGACACGTGATACGTCTGAGTCTTCATCCTCCGCTTCATCTCTCTTATCATCTGACACACAGCCAGAGGGTAGCAGCAATACACTGTGGTCCAGTCCTCACACACGCTTCCCTGTGGATAAATAAGCAGGTGCACACGTACGTGCAAACACGTGTAGAAGAAGCACACATGCAGACGAAAACAATGCAGAAACACACAGAACACAGAAGTTCCTTTGAACAACTTAAAGTGAACCAATTGAATTGCATTGATTATCCACTTCCCTGGTAGCTACTGTTTCTCTGTTGGAGTCTTAAAACTGCCTGAGAAATCACTTCACTGAACTTTTATTCTCTTTATTTAATAGTTTCTATTTTATTGTAATGCCATAAAGAGCAGTGAGCATTTTGAAAAGTCTACCTTTTCATGTGTCCAGGGCTATTTATTTGCATGCAAATACAGGCACTCACCCGTATCTTGTAGCGCTCCCTGATCCCAACTCGCATAGCAAAAGTGGATCCTGGTAGCAGAGGCATGCACAGACACTCCCCGTACTGGTGAGCTAAACTCAGGTCCAAACAGCACGGCACCAGAGCCCCGAGAAGACCTGCAAGCACAGCCACAGGGCAGCAAAATGTGTACATGAGTAACATTTAAGTGCTTGCCTGCAACAGACAAAAATCCAAGAAAAAAAATGTGGATAATTTATTGGTTCTTACATTAATTTTCTTTTGTAAAAAAAACAACAGATTAAAAATATTAAGCCTTGTGTTCAAAATTATATGCAAATGGCATTTCAGCTAAATCAGCATTTAGCTTTTAGCTTTAAAATGAAAACTTGTACTTCTTTAACTTCCCGTATCTTTTAGATAACTGGCATAAATCTCCAGCAAGGTTGTTAACTAGTTTGCTGAGCAATCTTAATTAAGGGTGAAGCAACAAGGCCCACTTCTCACGCTGTACAAGAGAAGATAAAAAGCGCGGAACAGTGCATTGTTTTGCATGAGAAATGAGAATTATTGATATTTCGTGAAAACAGATGCGAGATCCTCGAACTGTTTAAAGACTTCTGAGTGGCTCATTGAACAGATAAAGGCTGCTCACAAAAGTTTGCACAAGACAAATTAACAGACTTAAAAGAGCAGCTATAAAAAAAATAAAAATCATAAAAAGAAGAGGGGGAAAAAAAGCCAGTGTTGTGAAGCAAATTAGTATTTCAGATTACTGGTGTCTCAGTTTAGTAAGAGAAACATCTGCAGTGGCTTCTGAAATACGTGAGGAATAGTTCACAGACAAATGCTTTGCTCAGCTGGTTGGTTGAGATGGATGGAGTTCTGGATGGTCGGTGAACGGTCATCTAGCTCCATCAAGTTATCAAGGAGGTGGCTGAGTGATGATCTGGGAATGAAATGGCAGATCCCTGTAGGATCCTTGAGTGTGTCAATATGACCTCCAGAAGATATTTTATACTGACCATTTTCAGCCATGGTATAAAAAGAACAGTAGCTTCCAGAATTACAATATTTTCAAGTCTTCACCATTCTGTGCTTCATAAAACATCACTGACCCCATGGTTGCTATGAGAATAAAAGTAGAGGGAAAGAAACAATGTTTTTTTTTTTCCTGACCTCAACCTTAGCGAGAACCTGTGGAACATCCTTAAAAAGTGAAGATCTATGAGGGTGAGCAGCAGTGTACCTCAAAACAGCAAGGGAATACTGAAATCCTCAGATGTACTAAGGAAAGAAACCATACATGGATCCACAAGGTCAATTGATAACAGAGGTAGCCGTGATATCAAAGAAGAGCTTGTATTTTAATAGGTAGCTTGTTCTGTAAAGAAATGTTTCTCTGAACTGCATGTCATTTCAAGTTGTAACATCACAACAAGTAACAAAGATTGTCTTGGTCTGCTTTGGATTCATTGTGGAAAATTCAATATTTTCAAACTGCGTTCTGTGTAATAGTTTGGAACGAGGTGTTTCATGTTTTTGAAAAAAAAAACATTAAACCTTTGAAAATCAACTTGTCTATTGTCGAGGATTCAAAAATCTTGCTTCTTGTTTATGGGAAAATGGCATCTGAGTAATTATTTGGACCACAATGCAGAAAGAGTAGGAGTCATGAAGTTGTGACTTGCACATGAGAGAGATGTGAGAATACAGGATCCGGCTGTGTGTGCATGTTACATGTCGTCTTGTCTCCACAGACATCAAACAGGCCCGTGCTCCAGTCTCCTCCCGTCTGTGTGATGGTGGTGATGGTCGTCGTAGTGACGCCGAGGCCGGGCTGCGTGAGCACCGGGTCCATCGCTACAGAAACTTCATCTGACCTCCGGTTATCTTCACTTCCTGTGGTGAAGCCCCCCACTTCCTCCTCTTGAAATGCTGATGCTGAGGCTTCAGTGTCTGAAAGCCGTGGTCTGAAATTAGATTTTATTTTATTTTTTTAATAAATCTATCTTTAGATAGGGGGTAGAGAGGTCCACCACTGCTTGTCGAGCTTCTAAACTTCTACTGCTGCTCAACTGCAGCAGAATCAGTGTAAAATTTGCAAATTTGTCTCCATTTATCTTCCCTGTAAGCAGGAATTTAATTCATTTCGTTAATTCATACACAGAAAATCGCAGTGAAGGCAAATTGTAAAAATTTTAACAATTGATATAGCAAGAAGTGCAAACACAGGAGTTGCAGAGAGAATAGTTTTAAAAATGCCCCCTGCTTCTTTTGTACTGTCATATATAATAAAAGAATACACACAGCAGCATAATAAGGAAGATAAAAGAGCTGTTGCCTGTAATTCTATTGTGTTCAGTGTGACAACAATGTGCACTGCTAGGGACACACAAAAGAAGACACTTACTGGTGTGTGACTGTTGTCTCCTCCATGACTAGGAGCTACTGGCATCCAGAGATGGGTGAGACGAGGAGGCGAGAGAGGAGAGTGAGCAGGGAGTCAGCAGGAATGAGGAGGGGGAGGACGGGGCGGAGTGACACTTTCCCAGTGAGAGGGTGTGTGTCGGAGCAGATAAACCAGCAGTCAGATGGCTCGGCCAGAAGCTGTGTGACAGAGATAAGTCTTGTAGTTGTCTTCTGTCTGAGACTTGACTGTGCACCCCGCTAATACCGCAAATGCAGACAGGGCAGATACACATCAGGGTGCATGGACATTTTTGTCAGGCATAAAACAGCATGGATGCATTCATACACTTGATACAATCACACCAGCAGGTGAGAAGATTATGCAAAATCTTGCAAAAATGATAGAATATTTGCATATCTGAAACATCGGATTTTATAAATTAAACGCAAATTATTTACATTTGTGAAATTGTGAAGCACAAGCTCCAACACAAGAAATCTAATCTATTGGTTTGTTTGACCCACAACATTCAAAGACTTTAATAGTTTCTATCAACATTTATCTAAAAAGATGATACACTTACCTGAAGGCAGAAACACCGACTCGCACAGTCAAGAGCTGGGAGATGTATTTTATAGGCAACAAATCACCTGTGGTTTATGTGTAGGGTGAGCACTTCCTGTCTGCTGACACTGACTTTTAAATATAGATTGATATATTGTACATGCGAGAATAGGAAACTGAGAAGTGAGGGGAGCTACGTGGTGGAAGGACACGTAGCTAAACTACCACAGGTTTGGAGGCTCAGTCAGGTTGCACAAATACAGCTACATGAAAAGTTGACTTTTTTTAAATTTGGTTTAGAAAGTTTCCAGGATGATTGGATGTTTGGAGTGTAAATGTGATACTTTCCTGAAAAACAGATTCCGATATAATTATTGGCAGTTTGACTAATAGTGTTTCTCCCAAAACCACAGACACAGGACGAGCACACTCCCTGGAGCAGAACTGAAACAGTCCATTGTGTGCAAAAACAAAAAATATTGTTCCATCGTCCACATACATAAGATGCATTCAAGACTTAAAACTTCATGAATCATTGCCTTGAAGCAGGTAATGTGACATTTAGGCCACACTGAAAGGCCTCAGGATTTAACCTTCTTTCCCTTTAACAAGCCTTCTTTTTTTATCACACCACAAGAGTCTAAAAATATTGTTCTACCTTCAAGTTAAAGGAAGGAAATAAACATTTATTTTTAGGCTACTTAACTATGTGATTATTTTTATGGGTGCTTGCTCGGCAACAAGCGGGACATTACACATTCTGACAAAGAAGTAGCTCAGCACATAACTGCATCATTTATTTTGGTTTGTACTTCCACTTTTGCACTTATTAAACCAAATATAATGCATTAACGAGCTTTAGAGGTGCTGGTAGTCTTTTGTTGTTGCCATTTACTGTGTTTTCACAAAGCCAAGTTAGCCAGCTGATGGTTTCATTTTTAAATTTTTAGCTTACACTGTTCAAGAGAGCGAATGAGGATTTTTCCCTTCAGATCGAAAATAGTACGAACATGTGAGAAATATTTTACTTATTCAGTCAACTGAAGGAGTTTATTAGCAATTCCACCTCCATTGCATATCCCACATCCAAGTCATCAAGGTGTCTGCACACTCATCTCCACCACCTCCGCTACATTTAGCACACAGCAGCCTCATCAGAAGAGCGCTCACATCTACACAAAAGGGCCAAGATCCAGGACTCGGCATAACTTGAGTTAAGTCTTATTCTTGTGAGGAACACTTGTCTTATTTAGCTATGCTTAGAAGATAGAGAAGAAGAGGGAGAAACAACATTGGAGCTGAGTATTTTCATCCGTTTTTATTATTTCTCTGGAAAAGCCAGACGAGCACCGTCCCTGGCTAGAAAATAGGAAAGCTGTCTGACAGGCTGACAAGACACGAAGGAACAATATGCCTCACCTTCAATGTATAAAACAACACAACGGACGCATTACCATCTATATGAAAACGTGACATCCAGGAGGGTGCATGAGCAGTTCAACAATGTGCTAATGTAAAATAGTGACAGAACAGGATGCGGTAGGAGATGTTTGTTCAATGTGTCCTAGAAAAAAATTGTTTTAAAGCTTGAGATAATTGCTTGTGACACCAGTAAGGAAGAAGAGTGGACAATCGAGAAAAAAGATTGAACTTTACAGACAACGAAAAGACACTGGCGACCGGGGTTCGTGTCCTGAGTCCTGCAGAACAGAATACAAATTCTGGTGTTATGCTTGCAAACAATCATGCTAAAAAAATAAAAATAAAAAAAAAAAGTCAAAACTTTTGTGATAGTCTGGGATTATTGTCAAACTGTCTTTGCACCCCTTAAGCACAGAACACTTTCAGTGGGATAACAGAAACCAAAACCCAGAGCTGAATGTACGACAAGTGTATTGGTTGTTTTAAAACCAGGAGATAGAAGCAAACTTTTCAGGTCCAGCTACTTTCAGTATTACCCGAGGTCACATTCAGCAGCGAACAAAAGAAACCTAAAACGGTGAGATGATATCTTAAATCACCACCACAATGGGCTGTAGATGTAATTACAGAAACATTAATTATAAAAACATAAATACACCTACTAGTCAGAGTCATTGAATGAAAATAATCTATCTTATTGTAACATTTCATGATGCATTTGAATGTTTTTAAGGACTCACTGCTGAATGTGCCCTCATGTGTCTGTTTGTGTGAGTGCTAATCTACTGGATCAGATAAACCAGAGTGTCCCCGATGTCTACAGTCAGGCCATTGTCAGCCAGGGTGACTCTCTTCTCCTCCAGATTGACGTTGAACACAGATTTGTTGGAGATGGGCAGTTTGCCTTGTTCCTCCTGTCCCAGGACGGGCACCCGGCGGGGTCCTAGTACGGGGTCCTCGTACCTCATCAGCTTCACTTTGGACAGATCTGGTGGAAGAGTCAGAGGTAAGGAAGGACAGAGAACAGAAATGAACAGATACAGAATGAGGGGAAGTGGTGGAGGTAAGACAAAGCAGAGGGATTAGCAAGCGAGAGTGGTGCAGACACGATTGGGGAAAGGAAAAAAAGATTTTAAAAAATAAATAAATAAATAAGGAGTGAAAGTATTGACAAGGATTAGGAAATCAGAGCAAAGAGAGGAAGGAGGAAGGATGGAAAATGAGAATCAAGACAGCAGTGAGGAGAGATGGAAAAATTAGAGATAAGTTCTAGGCAGAAAGCAGAGTGAAAGGGATAACAGGCTACAAAGAAACTGGGTCATATTGAACTGTTTTTACATATCCTTATTCAGTTTGTCTTACTTGTGCCACATTGTGAACTGACTTTACGAATTAACAGCAGCAGACTAATAATGGACAGATGACGCACGACAATTTAATTGGCTTTTTTCTTTTAAACTGATCACTTTACAATGATGGCTTTGAAGTGAGGATGTTGCCTCAGCTCTGTTCTCTTTGTGTCTGTTCCCTGCCTCCTCTACTTGCATCTCAATTTGAAGGTAGTAAGACATGAGGAATGGAGGTGGGATGTAAGAACTGAGAAATAAGAAGAGGGGAGGACGCCCCCTAACATTACAGACCTTATTCACAGCAGCTACCGCGACATAAAATAGGAGGTAAACACAGGTGTCACTAATGACTTTAATGAAGGTCCTATTCTATTTCGGTACAGCGCCTTCATTAATGTGACACCTGTGTTTACCTACCTCATGTCAAAACAACTGCTGTGAAAAAAAAGCTTTATTTAGAGTGTCGCAGCAAAGGGTCTAAATACATTTACACATTGGAGTTTTAATAATTTTGCAAAAAAAAAAAGAAAAGTAAAAACATGTTTCCACTCTGTCATTATGGAAATTGTTCTCAACAGCTTTTTCTTGTCATAGCCCCACTGGAGCTACTCTCTTTCCCAGTCCTTGTACACAATGATGGCAGATGGATGGTGCAACACTTTTTACCACAAAGATGAATAATCTGATCTAAATCTGAATCTAATTGTAACCCAGTGGTTTCAAAACATTCTCGTCCCAAGCTATAAAATATATATTCCTTTTTTTTTTAGATTCTACCAAACATTTGTAAATATTACCAAACACATTTGAGTTCTTAATAATGACTTCTGAATATCTGCTGGCATTTCCATTTGTCCCACACACCTTTGATGAGTCTGTTGACCTTGGACAGTCTACGGATTACGCTGTCTTTGCTGTCCCCCTGTCGGATGTCAACCTTTGTTGAAAACAGGCCGTTGAACGGTTGAGGGTTGACCAGGGACACACACACTCCGGGCTGGGAAGGCAAAAGTGTGACACAATGCCCAACACACAATTAAATAGTTGATCTGAGTGCACAGCAATTATTTTGTTAATCACTGACTCAAACACCGCAGTAGAAGGGATGCACACAGTCAAACAACACGGAGAAAACATGTAGAAACATACAGAAAATACACCAAACAAAATGAGGACAAATGGGTGAGTAAGAAACTCAAAATTCTACCTTGAACACTCACAAAGTCAAACTTTGAGCAGCCAACACACAGCCAAAAGCATTTACCTCTGATCTGAAAACACTGAACGGTTTCCCTGGGCAACAGTCCTCCTTCACTTTGTCATCAGCCTCAGATGCAAACAAGACATCAATCTGCTCCAACTGTCAAGGGGAAACAATGTGGAACAAAAAAAAAGATAATCAGCTGAGCAGTCTAGTCCACAAGATGATGTGTGTACAGGTGTGTATGCGCACTGGCAAATGCTGGTGGTGTTAACCAGACTCCTGTATTGATCAGAGATCCGACGGCTGGCTTTGCACTCGTCTGTAACGTATTCCCTGGACAGTAGTTCGGTGGTAGCAGGACTGTAAACTAGTCAGGGATAAGAATACTGTAATCTATTAAAGACTCTGGAGTTTGGTTCTTTAAAGACCATGGTGTCTAAGGCTTTCTTGATTTATCTTTCTACAGCCAGAGAAAACTGTTAAAATGCCCACACAATCTTCTGAAACCACATAAAGCTCTTCTTTGCTGACCATTCTTGTGAAAACCCGGTTGTGAGGTAAGTAACATATCCTCCCATTTCAGTCCTACATAATACCTTATCTTTCTCTGCTGATGTATCTTCTGTCATCAACTTATCTGCGGCTATGATCTATCAGAAACATGGGCATTCCATTCAGGTTATTACTTTGATGTACATTATGTAGAATTTTCCTTTTCTGCTGTTAAATCTGTGCTGGTTTCCTAAAGTATCTTAGGGACTTTGGGTTTTATTTTTTGCCAAGGCTAAGCTTTTGTGCAGACAAAAGTATTAAGGGATTTTCTGACTGACAAGTGAGCTCAGGATTGTCTCGGCGTACTTTTGCAGAAGTACTGAAACTCGGCTTTAAAGTCGAGGTATTTCTGAACAAAACCAAAATGCTGCAACAACATGTTGACATTTATGTGAAAACAAACAGAACCTAATCACATAAACGTGTTCGCTTTCAACTGTGGATATGATGGTTTTGCTGCTTGTGGATACTGTCTAGTCTCATCAAATTTAGCATCAAACACTGGGTTCACAAAACCCTTAGAAGTGGTTTTTGGAACAGATGTTTTTGAGGGTAGTTACCTCCAGAGAATTAGTCAAGTAGACCAGGTTCTCCATGAGAACTGCCCGCTCATCAAACTCCAGCTCCAGATCCAAGACCCTGGGACCGTTCTTCTCCAGGTTCTCCTAAAGAACAGAAAGCAAAACCCACACAGTCAGAATCCCAGATACAAACATAAATAATCCACAAGCCTGTACGTAATGTCAACTCTCGTGAAGAAATAACAGCATTTTTTTCATACATTTTTAACAAACCTGCAGCTGAAAGAAGAACAGAAAATGCAGTATTGTGTGTCATTAGTAAAGAAATCATGTTTTAGTTAGAATTCAGCATTACGCACAAAGTTCATTGTTATGTTAATGCTGCCACTATGAGATTATTAAGAAAAAAAGCTTTGAGAGGAAAAGATGCTAAAACAAACTATCAAACGTGGAGAGGCGGGAGAGGAAACAAGCTGGAAGACCAGCTTGAAAGACAAATCATGGACGAATACAAAGCTCATCATGACTATTTATTAGGTTCATTCTGTTTGATCACTGCAGTGAAACAGCAACACCTGAACAAAGCCCGAGCACCTGTGAGATATGATATCTAAAATTTTAATAAGCGACGTGCTTCTAATCATTTACTACCCACTTGAATTTAAGTGAATACATAGCTTAATATATACGGAAACAATGACTGCAGTCATTCCTAAATTTCTTGTTATTTTTGTCATTTTTCCTATCCTGTAATACCTGCTGTTTTTAGATCAAAACAACACCATAGCCAGTGGTGACGCAGGTTGTAGTGTGATAGGAATTAAATAGAATCTGTATGCAATGCAGCCCATTTACAGAAAGGTGAGAATAACAACTGTGAATCAAGACATACAGACCAGCAGTCAAGTTGATGGGAACAAAAATAAAATAAAAAATAAAAAAATCACATCTTTATGAATGTTGTAAACAAACCGAAAGAGGCTGAGACAGCCTGTCAGACGTGCGTTTTGTAGTCTTTCAATCAAACAACACACTGAACCCTGCAGACCAAGTATTCCTGGAATTTCTTTGCTCAAATTGTTTCACCACATTGGCTGCAATTTTGTCATTGTTTGACACAAAAAGGAGTAATAAAAAAACAGCTTTTGAAGATCCAGACTCCATTTCGATCAAATTACTAGAGTACACTCTGAACCAATCACAGGCAGTGCTGTGTGTGAACACAAAAGATGAGCTACCGTATGGACAAGTTGCATAAACAGCTCCGTTGGGAGTAAACAAATCCAACTCAATCAAAACAGAGCAAAAAAAATACCTAAAAAAACACAAAAGAAGGTGTCTGTCTGCAGAATTCTGGCATTAAAGTCAATATTTAGAATAGTAAATCAAAGAGAGTCAGAAAAATGATACAGGTAGAGAAGAACAGAATGATGGGGAGGGGAGTGAATGTGTCTTTATACAGATGGTAGAACGGTGTCACCCTTCCACTAGATTTACCTTGATCATGGCTACAAAAGGCATGACTCTCTTCATGTATTTCTTTAGTTCAGGCAAGGCTCCCAACTCGCCTGCTATCACTTTGTTGTCTGGAAGGACACCGCTGTTGCTCTGGATGGATTGCAAAGCAAGAAACAGTGGTAAATAACTGAGCCAAACAGAGACAGAAAGAAGAGTAACATAAAGGAAACACAGGATTAATTGACATCATCATCCAAGACACAATTATGAAAATATAGATGGACAGGAGCAAGCAATTCAGTGCATCACTATGCTACAGGTGTCTGTACTTTCTGCAAATACCAAAAGGATGAATTCCAGGTTTGGCTTGCTCCTCACCTTGTAGTGCTTGCCGAGCAGGGATAAGGCACTGTGCTGCCATGGAGGGTAGCTCTTGGCCACGTAGATGGTGCAGTGGGAAGGCTTGGCTGGGGGCTTCGAGTCACCTTTCTGTTCAAGAAAAGCAGGATTAAGAAACAAAAAAAAGCATTTTTGAATCCATCTCATTTATTCATATAGTCAGAAGCACAACACAAGGTGGCCTCAATTAAATGCAGACTGTGTTTGGATTATTCAAGAAGCCAGCTGTTTCTGTTGTGTGACTGTGTGATCGTCTTCAGCAGACATGTGGATCTGTGAACTTATTTTACGTGACAGCTGTCAAGTCTGCTCTACTCCTGTACCATAAGTGTGTTTTCACAAATGAATCCTGATGTGACAGCATATTAACAGTGTAAATAAAAATCAGATGAAGCTGCTTACGAAGGGAAAAAGATACTGAATAAATCTGATTTCACAGCTTTATTAGAAGTTTAATAAAGTAGGTGATACTCCTTTTGTAAATTAGTCATCACTCTGATTTTGATTTGATCATCAATTCCTTTTTAAAATACAAAATATTCTGCATTTACAAAATTGTGTCGTGTTAAAATGTGGCATGTCCTGCTCCCCTCTGCCTGGCTGATTGAAACTCACTTGCCAACACAATATATCAGCCTGCTTAACAAACGTCATGCATGAAAACTTTAAAATAATAACAAACAGCCTCTCCTGTCTTTCTTTTTCTCCTCCTTTCCTGTCATCTTTCCAATCCTACAAGGCAACAAGCAACACAACATTTGCAGCCAATCAATTGCAGTGGCCTGGAAGCCCGAGATATCGGCTGTCTAAGATTTTGTCAATACTCGTTTTGCTTTTCTCTCAGCTGCCTACAGCTACCTATTGAAGTGCCGACCGGTTAACAAACAATAGACTAACTTTCCTGCTGTGAACACAACACAGACTTAAGCTTTCCAGGGTATCTGAAAGGACACAGGATGCTGTTGGAGAGTCGCAAAGAGACAGCATCAATAATCCACAACTGCTACATGTTAGATTGGGAAGTGTGGACCATAAAAACAAAACAAAAACAACAAAAAAATCCTTTCTATTTATTTTTTGATCCAGTTCCAAGTGTTGTAAACATACATGTTTGTTAAGCTTAGTCTCAAACACATTTTTTTCAAAACTTCACATCCTGTTTTTTATTTTATTTTCCAAGTAAAGAAAGACACAAAATATACAAAACAAAGCATGCAGCTGACCATTTATCTTCCTAGCAAAATGTTTTATTTGACAAAGTTTGAGTTTTAGTTTTGTGCTACTCGAAAGCATTTAGATTAAACTGTACGCTGGCTTCAGATATGATAAATTGCTGCTAAAACCCAATCTCTACTTTTGCCTGTTGGTGCCTGATAGTTTCAAGCTTCTTATTGTGCAGGTTTTTTTTGTTTTTTTAAATCATTTTCTGCATCAGTGTGCTCTACATCAAACAGCTATCAAACTGTTAAACAACACCTGAGGGAGAGAAGACTCCGACACACTGCTGCTTCCAATTTAATTACTTAATTAATTACCTAATGAACACTTTGAGACAAGTGTTGGATTTCATAGAAACTATTAAAAAGAAAGTAATCAATTCTGAAATGTCTATTCATTTGCACAATTAGTTTAAAAAGCCATTACAGCCATGGAGTGAAGTGGCAGGGAAAACACATATTTTACCTTGTTTTTGGGGGGAAGCATGTATGCTTTTAGTCTCAGACGGAGGTCGTGGGCCGTCTCCATGAGGTACTGAGAGGAACGAATCAGAATCTCGTCAACTGGGCCAGCCACAGGCCACGAGGCTTTCATCAGAGAACCTGTCTGTAAGGCAGAAAGAGGGGAAAGGAAGGATGAGGAGTTACCGGGGGGTTAAAAATGTTGTTTTGGTTTGTGTCGAAAATCAAAACTACAGAAGTGTGAGGCTCACCGACGCTTTAGAATCCTATTAACGACACAGCCAGAGGTCACGCTGCCATCATAACAAAACTAGCAGACACCACATTAACTAGGCAATGTGCAAGAAGCCCAGACTAACGTGTGTACCTCTGTGTCCACCAAGTGCCTCTTAGCTCTTTAGCTAGTGGTGTTGAACACATAATTGGAGAAAATACCGGTTGTGGGGCTTTTGTTGTTGCTAAGCGACAACCGAAAAACCTATCACCAGCACAGCAGCACTTCTTCATATTCATAAATTTCAGTGTTAAAAATATTCTTGGCTCTCTGTGCTATTGGACGCATGCAACACTGTGAACATTCATTTCATACTGCTAGGAGACAGAAGCCTGGGGTGTGAAAACCGGCTCCCGGTGGACATGAACATCAACAGTGGGAATATGTTCATAGCCATTTCACGCAGGTAAATGAACAGAGGGACCCGCGCTACTGCAAACCTACATGAACTTGTGAGTTTTAGCTTCTTGATCTACTCATAAATGTAAACAAACACGGGAAACTAAACTGTTTTCTTTGACTGTATTTCTGATATACTTGAAAGTATACAGTGGTTTAAAGAATTAAAAAAATAAATAAAATAAAATAAAAACTACGGGAAACAGAGGATCTAAGTCAGTTGTGAACCCAGCCAGAGCACATGGGACACTCAGAACATGAGAGAATGGTGATAAATCCATCCATCCATCCAATAAATATATACCACTTAATCCTCACTAGGGTTGCGTAGGGGCTGGAGCCTAATGGTGGTAAAGCCATATGCTTATTACATACATTATTATTATTAAATCCATATGTGTCTTACCTTGCCCAGCAGACCCCAAGTGTATTCACAAAGGTGTGGGCAGATGGGGGCCAGCAGCAGAGTTTGTCTCTCTATGAATTGGAAGACGAGATCTCTGTGCATGCCTTCGATGGCTAGCTCCCGATACTTGTCTTTGGCTGCCTGAATACACACAGGAAAAACAGTTTAAAGGTTTGTCAGCATCAACACTGCTAATTAGATGGCTCTCAAACTATCGCATATACCTTAATCAAATGTACAGGATGCTATGTGAGTTCCAAGACATGCTATGCTACTGTTTTAGCACTCACTGCAGTATCCACAATATTCATCTTCAAGCTACAAAGTTTGATATTCGGATCAGAGAGCTGATTTGAAAATAAGATTATATTTACCTGGAACTCGAAAAAGCCACTCTTCAGAGCCTCCTTGTACATCATCTTCTCATAGTGCTGCTCCGTCTTAATGATACCTGCATTGATTTCACTAGACAGGACACAAAATTCGTTTTTTTCAGTGTACCAGTTATCAGCACTGAAAGAAATAAATATATATATCAGGGACAAGTATTCCAAAGGAACCATCCAGCTTCTGAAAGACTAAATTATATTCTAGATCCCTGCTCTCATTTCTTTGCTATGAGTGCCAAATGGCCACAGTATTTTAATTTCAGTTTTTTAAAAAATGTAAGAAACATGAGCTCAAGAAATCACAAAGCAATGCAACGTAAAGAGAAATAAGCTCACTTTAACAGAATATTGCCGATTAAATATAAGATCTTGTATGTAAATACCATATCCCACTAGTGCTAAAAATATCAGTATTCCATATCTGATTAAAATAGACAAGAGGTGAGATGATGTCCATCCACAACAACTTAAACAGTAGATTAATCAATCAAGTAACTATATAACTGATTAGTAGGTTATATTTTCAGTAGTAAGAGCATTTGCACCATATCATACAAATAAATTATTGTTGGCGTTTAACAGTTTTAATAGTTTACCTGTTTTCAAAAAGACACTTTCCAACGTTGTGCAGGATTATCCAGGTTAAAATTCAGCTCTGCGTTCTTAGTCTCAATATTTTAAAAGCCTCTGTACATGGCCTTGCTTCATATGATAATTTTAACTTAATAATTTATTAATTTACCTGGCAAAGACCCGATCGTTGAAGGTGTCTGCAGGCCCCGTTCTCAGGTTCTTCTGGTTGGCAATCATCTCCTTTACCCACTCTACCCAAGTGTAGAGGCGCAAGATGCCAGCATCGGCCATGGTCTCTACAAAGTTGGCGTCTTCTACCGTGTCCCCGGCATCTGCTAGAGCCAGACGCATACCTGAGATAGGGAATCAAAAGGTGTGTTAAAGCAGCAGAAAGTACAGGGATCAATATAATCTGGTTAAAGATGATATGTAGGTAACCTTACAAAGTCAAAACCTTGCATTGCCAGAGTCTCCATTCTCCATCATAACTTGCTCTCCCTAAACATACCACTATTTGAGTCCTCTAATCATTTGACAAACACTGAACAGAGCACTTCTTTTGTCTTCTGCACAATACTTTTCGACAGGTGAAGTTCAGAGGCTTTCAGTCTGAGAAAAAAAACCTCAGATACCCAGCAGACATCACTACAAGCTCTTAGACAGGAAGTTAACATAATACATCTATCTACTGTCAGACCATGAAGTTCTTTACTCCCACGGCAGGACAGTTTCTGGAGACGCAAGAGATACGTCTATCTATTATTCAGCCCGTTCAGAACAGAAAGACAAAGAAGGTGGAAATAACAACCAACGGAAACAAACAAAGAAAGGAAAAGAAACCAGGAGGGATGGCTAGACAAATCCTGAGGTATATTGAGGGTAGGTGGGATATTGGGGTTAATGTGAGTACCATCCAGGTACAGATAAAAAAAAGATCTCAGCTAAAGATGATAGCTAAAAAAAATAGACAGATATAAAACCAAATAAACATATGGAGAAGAACAACATAAGATTAAAATTCTGAAAATGGGTATTCAACTTTAATTATTTCAAAAGTTTGTTTTAATTACATTTTTAGAAACTAATTTTTGTCTAAATCTTGATCTCAGAACTGCACAGTGAAAACATTTTCTTTCCATCACCCTATAAATATTTTATTTTAGAATAAATATACGCTTTTATTTTTTCCCCCCCATTCTCTTTCTTGTTGACTAACTGGCAGTTGTGCATTTCTGGAATAGAGATCATGCAAATACGTAATAAGTTTTGACTGAATAAAACATTTCTATTGTAATAATATCATATTGTCGCCGGGCATTAATAAGTTACTTCTGGTGCAGAGAACATATTGAATATACACTGCCTTCCTGGTTACAGTTTTATTACAGCATGCATATTAAATTAATATACAGAACTCATTACTTACAGTGCAGTGTAAAGGCTCTGACATATACAATAGCTCATAACACCCAATATCAACACTCCAGCTATCTTAGGGAGGTTTTTTTCTAATTATCCTCACCAGAGGATAAAAGATGTGCATCGTATAATCAAGTGTAATGGCCCGTGCACTGTGAAAACACAGTAATGTCCTCTGAAAGTAAACTTGATGTGTTTTTCTTCCAGTACGAAACAGAAATTGTGAAATGAAAAATCGCAAGATAGTAGAGGAGTAAAAGATAAGAAATAGAAAGAGGGAGATAAATCAAGAAAAAAACTGATTGTACCGTCTGCTGAAAACTTGTCAATGGCTTGGGTGAGAGTGAGGAAGTTTCCTGTTGATTTGGACATCTGGTAAATTAAAAAAATAAAATAAAATAACAGATGTTAGCAGCCAGAATTTTTCAAACATGTCCACCCACATAAGTTCAAGAGAAAGCATAGGGCAATGGAAGTATAGATCCAGGCCAGTTCTGTGTTTAAAACTCACAAAACAAACAAACAAAACACAAGATAAAAAAAAAAACAATTAACATCTTCACCAGCATCCAACATAAAAGTTTAGTTTAAGCTGCAAAATGTTTAATTGCAATATTTTAAAGTCAGTTATGAAGCTAGCAACACAAACGACCACATCAGATGGGATCAGACCTCCTTCCCTTAATAACAAATTGAAAGATTAGAATTAATATATGCAGATTAATATTTCACACCATAAATATTTGACACACCTTTTCAGAGTTGAGAAGCAGATGCCCGTTAGCTCGCACTGCTTGTGGCCACTTCCCACTGCAGATGAGAGAAAAAAGATCTTCTTAGTGTCCCTTTCTCCATCAGCATAATCAAGTTAACCTCAACCCAAGGTTGCTTCTTCATTTTTAAAATCAGGGATCTTACTTTTTTCCATGAAATTCAGAACCCCTTCATCGAACTGAAATTACAGTGAGGCTGGGCAACGTGTTTAAAATCATCATCATTATATTAATAAAGACATTTTTCTTTTATTAATATATCTCCACGTAACAAATGTATAAAATCAAATAAAAGGATAATGTGTTGAACAGTGTTCAAACGTTAGGCTTCACATTAAATAAAACTCTTCACGAGAGTAAAACAAAGTGACACAATTTTATTAGAATTTAATGATAGTTTGCTTGGAATTGTTAGAAGAAGTTAAACTACTTATTATGATCATATCCTTGAGATGTGATTCCACCAAAAGGTAATGGATGATTAATATTAATATTATATTATTAATAAAAAGGTTGTATCTAATCTGAATGCAATGTTTGATGTCTGATGTATTTTTCTGCCCTGTGAAGCACTTGACTTGCGCCTGAATGGTGCTACATAACTATTCTTGCCTTTTTTAATGTACATAAATGCAGACAAGGCTGTCAAAAGCACTAACAACAAACACAAACATGAAACGAGGCAAACCTAACAGGACTGGTTACCAGGCAACCGGCGCAAATACTCAAAAGTCACGAATCTAAGCCAAGAATTAGTCTGGTACATCAACCATAAAATGCAGAATTGTTGTTTTTATACTTTGGCTTTTACATAAATTACACAAATGAGATGGATTTTGTTAAGCGTGTTTGCCAAAATGTCAAAATATTCATTTAACAGTCAATCAACTTTGTTATTTAGACTTTTTCCCTCAAAAAAAAACTTAAAAAACCAACTAAAAAACAATTCTCCTTTAGACCCGATATCTGTGAATTCTAACATGTTATGAATTTAGTACCTCATATAGTCACTCCATGTGTCTGTACTGGTTAGTCAAGTGGGGAAGACTCACTTGTCTTTGGGCCACATAGCCACATGGTTGTACAGGAAGTAGGACAGGTGGTTGGGAACCAGGTCTTTGCCAGACACACGGACATCCACCGGGTACCAGTACTCAAACTCTCTCCTCAGCCTCTGTAGGTGCTCTTTGGGGATGTCTGTCTTGGGGAATGGAGACGTCTTAAAGAAGATGAAGTCCCAAACCTCCCTGGTCATCTGCTCTGGCCTGTGAGGGAAAAAAAAAAACAGGGAGAACGGAAAAAGATTGAGTCAAGGGGGATGTACAAGGTTAAAGTGAGGTAAAAAAAAAAAAAAAGCAATTAAATGCTTCATGGTGACAGTGTGCTTTTATATAATCCAGTATTTGACAGTGTGCATTTCACTTTTCTTTGCTATTGTATTTTAGTGTAGAGGAAGTTACAGGTTATACTGTGGACGCATCAGTTAAGGTTCAGTACTCGTTTATTATTTTGTACAGGCATGAGTGTGTATTGTATCCGTACTTGATGCCCAGCGGCGAGCCTCCCTGTCCATTGAGCACGCCTCCCTGGAGGAGGTGGGCTACTGTGTAGTAAGCCATGTAGATGGTGGAGTCCGATAGCGACTCAATCAGCCACTGCTCGTCCCAAGGCAGCCGCGTTCCTATGGCAACCAGGGGACGTGCACACATACAGACACACACGCGCATCCACATAGACGGAGAGAGACACGAACACAATCATGAAAGTGAAAAAGAAACAAAACTACAAATCAAGACATTTGCTGTTTCTTTGCTGATGCAATGTTTTGTTGAATTTGCCGTCTTGTCAAGCTGGTTACATGCTGGTGCCAGGAGAAACACTAATGCAAAAAATATATATCCTTGGCCTCATTGTGTAATTCTTTGTAAACAAACGGATGCAATTCTTTATTTTCCAAAAAAACAAACCACAAGTAGCTAACCTGTTGTTTTGACAGATGACACAGCAACTTCTGCTTTTACTCACTGATTTTGGTCACTTTTCTTCAACTTTTAGATTTTTAGCAATTTTTGGCCATAAGGCGTTATCAAAGTCAAACAACTCATTTAAACCTCAAATCTGCTAAACTCATGTTTGAGTTTCTAATAAGATTCAACTGAGATCCTTTACCATGACTAAAAATCACTGCAAGCTTGAGCAGTAATTAAGTTTCATTGGCAGTGGATGCATGTCTCTGACATTTGAGCAACATTAAATACACAATTTAGATGACTACATTTATATATTTTGTTTTTACATTCATTTGAACATAACTTTAAAACCATTAAAAACAACATTTTTCGTCTGGTGGAGCAGGAAAACCACAGGTGACCTATAAGTTACTTACAAAGTACAAACACTTCATCCAATACACAGCTTAATGCATCTGATGTACTTGAGCTTTCAGTGTACGTTCAGGCATAGAGTGAATTCTTTGACTTGCACAAGTTCTACTGGAGAAAAGTCTGCACAATATGCACCTTACAAAAAAATATCTGAGGAGCATATCAGACTGCTTGTCTGATATGCTGGCTGGAGAGATCTTGTGCTTTGTTTTCTTATTTCTACAGTAGGAGTCAACAATAGGCCTAGACTGTACTGTGCCGGCATGTACAGTGTGCCAGCTGGCCTTCAGTCTGCATCTATTATTGTGTGAACAGAGGCAGACTGTTGCGATGTGCTTTATCATTAGTCCTCTGTCTCCATCTATAGACCAAAAACATCACCCAAATACCAGTTCAAGAAGCCTCAAGTCCTATTCATCTCTGACAGGGTGGTAAAATGTATCCTAGACAAATGGTGTCACCTTTGAATGAGACTGTGATGAAAGCATCATCCAAATTACAAATAAAATTCAGGTTGCATAGACTATCTTCATAAATGTTTTACTGCACACACTTTCACACACACAGACGAGGACATCACTTACCAAGACCGTAGGTACGAGAGCAGGCATGCTCCTGTAGCCAGGCCAAGGTTGCCTCAAAGTTCCTCCTGGTCTCATCACAAAATCTGTATAGTATTTTGCAAAACAGAGCACATAAAATAACATTAAGGCTTCTTTCAACTTTGGTATGATTAAAAAAAAAAATGTTTTCAGCTTTCAGCACGGCACTTGCAAGCAATAAATTGTTTAAATGTATGTTCAACACTTAGAACGAGAATTTCTGAACGTTTGCAACCATGCAAAAAGCAAACTTTGACAACAAAGCTAACTAAAAAGCATCAGAGGTAAGTGTCTTACGTCTCCAAAGACTTGAGGGCTTCATTGGCCTGCTGCTTCCACTCAGCATCCCCGTAGTCCAAATACCTGCAGGACACACATATAATATTTGCATAAAGCTTATCAAAGACACTGGAAATGCCACAAGATATTTAGTGTTTTACAGAGGTACTGCTTCATCAATATTTCTTTAAGTTGTGTGGCCATGATAAACAAAACTCGACAAGAAAATAACACTTCTGTTTACATATGGAGCTTTAGATGCGCTCAGATCAAACAGTTGTTTTTTTTTTTAAATCCCAGATGAAAACATTGTCAGGTTTTATTGTATTAACATTCTTGTAGTACTCACCATTGATCACAGAGAGCCACCACGCACTCATCAGCTGAACGTGACATGACCTGTTTTTCTGGTTCCATGTAGATCATGGCCTCACCCTGTGATACATTAATCCAGAGCCAACATCATTAAAAATAAATAGAAATCATACTGCACACATCTATCCTGCTTTGCATGTTAACTCCCTGTAACAGTGGACAGACATAGAAAACCACAAAATATATTCCAGGGTAAAGTCAGAATCTTAAATTGTTCTTACATGTATATTTTGACTGTACTTTATTGTTATTTGTTATTTGAATTAATCAAAATGTCTTACTCTCTCCACCATCATCTTCTGAATTGGCTTCTTGACATCCTGAACCTTCTGTCCCTTGTATCCATCCACCAGCATGATCTGAGACAAGAATTCATTCACAGGAACACATTCATATTGCTGCATTGTTTTTCAGCATTCTACCAGTTATGTCATCAACAAGTGGGCCATGCTCCTATGTTTTTTTTTTTTTTTCCAGCAGTAGACAGAACCAAACTATCTGAAGGCAACACATAATAAACAGCCAGATAATTAATCATTTATTGTGGCCTTAAGATGTGAATTACTTGATTTGTGTCTGGGAGAAAAGAAAAGTCAAATCCACAGGGGGCTCACAGAGAGGTTGTATTTTGCTGACCTATCTTGCTGTTTCTTTACTCATTAAGCACTGAGGGCACTCACCCCTTCATAAAATCCCTTCAGGTAGACCTTCTCCTTGGCCTCAGCCAGTTTCTCCTTGTCGTTCTGGCTCTGGATCTTTAACTCATCACACACCAGAGGTGCCGACAGGTTTCCATAGCCTGGGATGTCTATGATGGGTACCTGACATGTGCACACAAGTATGCAAACTCGCATTAGTAGTGCCTTTATCATCAAACACTGAGTTTTAGGGCCCAGTGCAACCAAGTTAAAATCAAATGGACCTGTATTAAATCAGCTTACCGGCTCAAATGGCAACACCATCTTGTCCTCAATTCCATACTTCTCCCGTAGAGCCTTTGATATGCAAGAATAGTAATATTAATAAAATGTTACATGTAATGTTTGTTTAAAGAATAGATGTGATGATGAGTTTGGTCCAAATAAACTTCAAAACGACTGTTTTTTGGGGGTTAAAAGGCTCGGTGAATGGTAACAGAGTAAAGATTTACTTAAGGGTCAGTCAAAATTACCTGTTTTTTCTTGATGTCCCTGAGAGCGGCAATGTCATCAGGAGCATCAGATGGCACACTGGTAACAACCCCGGTGCCTGAAGAAAACATAGACAAGGCAAAGCAATGTATAAAATTTATTAAATGAGACTGTAATTTGCTCCATTCTACACACAATCAAAGATATTAAAAACTAAATGCTGCCACATTTCCTCAGCTGCCACACAGCTACACTGATGCAACTAATTAACTAAGGAGACAATGCGGGGGACAAATAAATACACGTGATCTGGAAACTGAGATTTACTGTTGCTCATTACCCTCCACAACCTCTTAGAAATAGGATGGCACACTGGGCATGAGAGATTCATTCATATTGAAATTCTGACATTTCAGCTTAGTCATTTAGAAATTCCAATTACGACCATGTACAGAAATTCATCAACAGGACACATGAATACAAATAGACAAACTGCACCCCTCAAGCAAAACAGACCAGAAAAAAACAGATAATGCTGTCTTCTCACAGAATAGAGGCACTCCGCAATTAGGTCCGTTTCATATGTTTGCAAATGTTCGACCCCGGGGAAAAAAGAACCCATTACTTTCATCCTTTGACATCACAGTACGACACTGTTCAATTCCACCTTGACCTTGTTGTGCTATTTTGAGAATCCAGTATTTTTCCATACACCTTGTTAAGAACGACACAAGATCTTAAAGGATAAACCGAAGTGCAGAAACCTTTGTCTTTGCAGAGAGTGTGGACTAACAGCTAAAGGAGCAAGGGCTGGGGAAAAAAATCTTTTCGAAAATTAATGTATACAGGTCCATTAACGATTGTTGAACTAATCAGTAATTTTCAGCTACAGTTCTCTAAGTTCAAAAGAGAGGAAGGTGCCACACACTGGGATATTCCTGTTGCTTGGGCAACTATGGCAAAGGAGCCTATGAACAATTATAGCACTGTAACATAACATGACACATAGCTGGCGTTAAAAAAAAAGCACTAAATACACATGACTAATGTATCTGACGTAAGTCTTTTGAGTCATACCTTTGTCCTCCTTGATGGTGAGCATAGGAAGAGCATAGATGATCTTGTAGGAGGTCAGAGGAGCACTCAAGGCACTGCCAAGGATATCCTAGACAGACACAAAGATAAAGGAGAGCCTGGTTTTATTTACATTGTGAGGACATAAGCATCATACTTTATCCTGCTCTGAAACACATACAGCAAAAACAATACAAAGCACATTTAAATAAATATTCTCTACATGCAAACTGGTCAACTTTCTGTACATAGTATTAGTTAGTCGTCTTTGTGTTTTACCATTAGACTGAATTAAATACATAAAAAAATATAAATCTGAATTCATTTGCCATAGCTGAGAGCAAGAAGGAAGCAAAAGCAGTACCTGTCCCAGTATTTCCATGATCACTGGCACGACTCCGTTCTCCTTGGTGAAGCCCTGGAAAGACATGTTCCTGGCAGACCTGCTGGTGCTGATGAAGATGTCTCCGCTGTTTGTCTCAAAGGCGACATACTTCATATCGGGTCTCACCCAGCAGTTGGTCTGACCAAACATGGTCTCTGGTCTAAGAGTGGCAGCCACCAGAAAGATGTTTTTGCCTTTCATGCCACTGTGGGGAGGACGACAAGGATTAGGACTTTACTTTTGTCTCAAGTCAAGACTGAGTCATGGTATTTACATAATGAGAATTAAACTCATTATCCTACTTCTAGTAAAGCTCCTAGGATAAACTCAAAAGCATAAAAACATTTGTGCAATAGTGTCCTCCCCAAGAGGAGTCACTGGCAGCACAGTGTTCGGTGTTTGTTGCTTGTTACCTGCTGTAAAAGACTTTGGATTTGAATTTTGCAGTGTAAGGTTCAACTATCTTCATCTTGATGAGTGTGTACTCCTGAGGTCCAACTCCCTGCAAATGAAGCATTAATGATGTAGAAGAAAATCAACACTGGTCTTCAATCACCACAATTATAAATATGAGAGGATTTTTATGAGCAGTCAGGAAGACAAACATTTGAAAGTCAATATGTGCAAAAATGTTGGGTCAATATTTTTTTTTTTTTTACTGATCATATAAAATCATATTACAGATTGGTTTTTCAGAATTGATGAATTGTTCTATAGAGGCTGTTAAGTCTACCTCTCCTGTCTGTCTGTCATGGTCCATGCATGGCTGTCCATCCTTGGGAGAGTAGATAGTATACCTGCAGAGAAGTCCAGGATAGTCACATTACACGACTAAAAGAACACACAATTTAACATTAAGTTAAGCTGCCCGAGGCTAAAGTCAAACTGAAAGGTAGATTATATAGCGACGATTATATTCCATAAAAGATCCACTTTGCCTTTACCCGATGAAAAGAATCACAACAGCACAGGACGGCAATACAGCTCAAGAAAGAAAACTTGTTTTTACTTTCCTTTGTCTTCCCTTTACAACTGAAAGGATGTTGCCAGAAAAACGTTCTCTTTGTTTTACTTTGCAGAACAAGTAAGAGGTTATATACAAATAATAATTCTACCTCACCTTTTGCCAAACTTGATCTTTTTCCTCTCTTTCAGAGTGACAAACTGCCACCTGACAAAAGAGTCGTAGAAAGGGTTCACGTCTGTGGTGATGAATGAACGCCTCCAGTCAACCTGAGAGATAATAACACAACACCAGGATTTAAACACAGTTGACTAAATGAATGATGTGATCGAACTTTCCTTGGGTCCGAAAAAAAATCTTGGTTCATAGAAAAATTGAAATGTGAATGTCAATGTGTTTTTCGAATTTTGTTGATTGTTGATGTTTACATTATTCTGCCCGGTGACACTGCATGAATGTTAAAAGTCAATTGTAGTTTACTCTTAAAAGTAATGTGAATCACAACAGGGTTAAGACACGGGCACAGAAACAAACAAAACTGAAAAAGACAGGCATTTGCGAAAGCTAGATTATCAGAATTAGTCACCTTGACTCCCATCTGTTTGAGGTCTTTTACAGCCAGAGGAGGGAAGTACTCCAGCCAGTGCTCAGCATTGGCAAACTGGACAATCTCGTCGTCTTTCAGGCCCAAAGATCTCATGATGTCCCACTGGAAAGTGGAGGATCCAGATTTGGCCACTGCTTTGCTCTAGCAGAAAAATAAGAAACAGTTTTTAAAATACGGCAAATGCAGTGCTAAACCAGTTATGTAGGTAAGAAATCAAGGGATAATAGAGCAAAAGGAAATATTAATAAACCACATATTTTGTTCAGTAGGTTTGATGATGGTGGCTAGTTATTTCAAATTTGAATCTCATAAAAGTCATGTAACACAGCTTATCACTTCGTGCTTTAACATACAAATACTCCTTTTTGTTTTGAACAGATCATCTACAATAATTTTGGAGCAGATTTAATGTCCCCACACACAAAACAAAATTTAACAAGAAAAATATTGTATTGTTTGCTGCAAGAGGACACTGCTCATTACAGTTCACAGTATATGTTAGTATCATTCTTTAAGAGACAAACAGAAAAAAAATGAAATTATTTACACATTTTTTCTTTAACCATCCTTAAATAAAAAAATACACGTTTGAACAAGAAGCTGCTGTTTTGAAATCCAAATTTGACACAGATTTGTGTAATTGCTTTTTATCCAGTCGTTAAGCTATGTAAAATCACTCTTATTGAAAAAATGTCTAAAATGTTTATGACAAAAACATAAACCAAGTTTAGCGTGGAAAATGTTAATAGCGTTGACATTTAGATCCTGACCTTCTTTCCTTTTGCTTTGTCCTTGATGATGATTTCATCAGATGTTTTTGGCTTCTCCTTCTCTTCTTCCTCCTCGTCTGGAAACTGTGGAGGGTTTCCATAAAGCTCCATCTCTCTCTTCAGTTTGTCTGCACAGGCCTGGTGAATACAACATAGATTTATGGATACTAAAAAGGCTAACAAGGCAGTGTATGTAGATGAGAGGATGTCAGAAGGTGGATTATGAGCAAAGATTAATTACTAAATTATCATAAAAATAGAATATTATTACTTGTTATAAGAAACGAATGTAGTTGGCAACAACATGCATATTGTGTTTGCATAATTAAAAGAGTTATGACTTTGTCAGATCTTAGTTCCTCAAAAAGAATCTGCATAAACCTTTTGTTACAAAGCAAAGGCAACAATTATCATACCTGAAATAACTTTCTACCGCAGTGAGTCATTGCAAACTGAACTGAACTTTATACAATAGAATGAAAAAACAAAAACAGACACTCACTTTGATTGGCATCCCTGTGCAGTGCAGCCCGAATGGGAACAGGCATTTCTTCCCCTTCAGGGCCTGGTAACCAACACCAAACTGCAGGAACAAAATTGAACAGCAGCAGATAAGAAACCAGTGATCCAAAATTTGAATCTCAATGTTTCCATCACAGATGATGATCAAAGGTAATTTCTCAATGTTGACCCATTTGCTTCTAAGTGCAACCTTACCTCACACTTTGACAAGCTGAATGTATGGCCAAGGTGCAATCGGCCATTCATGTAAGGATAGGGGAAGGTGACAAAGTACTTGTTTTTGCTGGAAGGGGGGGAAAAAAGACAGTTAATCTTAAAGACAAAGGGAGTCTGATATCTGGTATTCCTTTCCAAGCACAAAGTTCTAAACTGAGAAATAGCAACTATTACTTTAACTGTGTTCTTTTGGTTCTGTCACATTTTTACTCATTGTGGGCTAATTTTTCACTACAACATTAACTTTTGCACCTCTATTGAAACAGCACAACCTTAGAAGGAGGGAGAACTCCAAAATGTTTTTTTTGTGTAATATACCGAAGTTCTAGCATCATACATCTTTAAAAAAAAAAAACAACACGTCATTTGAATTTCTTTGACTTTTTAATTTACAAGACATAAAACAATAGAATCAATCTATCCAATATGTTTCAAATACACACTAGTGTTGAAACACTAAAAAACACAAGGTCTTTGTATGCTATAGATGTTTAAGTAGTTACATTTTACAGCCTTTACTATTTTTTGTTTTTCTCACTATTCTGCACATTAATTCTAGAAAAATATTTCATCACGCTGTATCTTCCAACAACTTACTGACAACCTGTTCCACTGTTTTGAGCCATGTACCATTTACTGTATTGATCAGGTTTGTTTTATTTCCCTGTCAATCTCTCTTGCCTCTGCTCTGCGTAAACACAGCCTGCAATTTACTTAAAACAGTCTGAGAATTTTTGCCATGACACGGCTGTTGGTTGCAGCTGTGTCAATCATGGTTACTCAGCTGTACTGAGGAGTGCAGGATTTTTATTTATTTATTTATTTTACAGGATTCAATGTTTATTTCTAGTGAGTTATTGAATAACACGTAAAATAAAACAATTTCGATGAAATATGACTATTTTTGGGTTAATTTTGGTTATTTTTTTCCAAAGGAACTGCACTTAACACAAGTGGCATTCAAGGAGACTCAGAAAGTTGAATATCTGATGATTCTTTCTGTTTTTACAGTTTCTGGCTCTAATTAATAGCGTACTTTCCCTGATATTTTACAAGAAAACATGGCTTTAAGCCTGCTGGCAGGTTTTTGGGTTCAGCTGGTTAAATGGTTCACCCTGTGTGCATAAACTGCACCATGTAACTAAAACGTAGGATTACACCATCACTTGCATGACTTGTTTGTTTTTTTTTTTTTTCTTCTTTATTAATAGTAGCAACTACATATCTATTACAGTGTGTATTATGAACAATGGGTGTGTTATAGTTTGTTGTATCAAGAGTATTACAGAGGGAAGTACACTTGCAGACACTGCTCTGACATTCCGAAGTACAACAATCTCACCGAACTGCTTTCTTTTCCAGACTTACAGCTGCATATTAAAATTAGCCGAGCCAAATGCATAAAAGACTGAAACTTTTTCAGGAACACAACATAAGCTTCTTCATAATAGCAAGACGAAGCAACTACTCACTTTGTGCTTTCCCCAACGGTTGTAGGTGCATCATGCTCAAATGCTTTCTGCTTCTCCCATTTCTCCTGGATTTCTAATTCAATCTTTCTCAAAAAGTCCAACTTTGCTGTTCCTTTCCGCTCCTGCAACACAATGCCGGGTAAAATTACAGGTTTGTTAGGAAAATAATGTCTGCACAGTAAAAGCTGCAAGTAAACTGATTATTTTCTAATTGACAAAACAGCTGTAATATCTGGTTTAACTGAGTCTCATTCCTATTTCTGCAGCTGGTTCGACAGCTCATGTTAGCTAACTTAGCTAACAGCTACAGTAAGTTAATGTAGTGAGAAAGAACGTGTCCACCTCCTCTAAATTAGCATTAGCCATTTTAAACTTCACATAATTAGAACATTGGACCTACCGTCATTTTGACCAAAATTACGAGCTATTTACTATCCCGCTGTTTGGAGAAAAAGAAACGGCAGAAATAGTTTCCAGTTTGACAAGAGAGACCCACGCCACCGGTGCCTGGATGATGACACCCACAATCCGCTCCCCGCGGGGTTTTCTGGGAAATGTAGTCCGTAGAAATTTTAAGGCGTCGTATTGTTAAATATTTGTCCAAATAGCAACATTATTCATGCGGTAAATAGTATTTTTAATCTCACATGGTTCAAAAGACAACTGTAGATCCGCTGTTGGATTTGATTATTCGCTTTGTATAAAGGTACAAGTTTTACCATTGTAGATTGCTTTTTTTTTTCTTGCGTCGCAAGGCCTGCGTTACGACAACTCGACTATTGTTGCCATGCCGTAAAACATTTCGTCCGACCTGCCAGTGAAGAGAGACAGAAGGCCTTAAAGCTTATAAATTTATAGACGATGCAAGTAGGGTTGTCGAAACGCACTTTCTTTTTATAGACAGTATTGTAGTCTTTCTCACGATGATCATAGAGAATGTGGAAGCCTTGAAGTCGTGGCTGGCAAAACTCCTGGAGCCAATGTGAGTGTTGAATTGAAATGACATTTAGCTCGCATGCTACGTAGCTACGTTAGCGGGCTAGCCAGCGGGTTAGCCAGGCATCAATGGGGACTCAGATGGCAGATTCTTGCACGAGTTAGCTAACCACCATTGCCGCTAGCTGGCCTTTTGTGGCAAAGAGAGGCACTATTACTTTTCAGTTGGCGTAATGAGAGGAATATAAGTTGTGCACGATGTAATGCATTTGTTGAGGTTTGTCGCAATGTTATTTTGGGGTAGATAGGCATGCAGCTGGCGTAGATAGTGTAACTTTATCACAGCTCTGTAGCAAGCCATTGAGCTTCAACACGTAGCCTAACTTGTATTTTTGTACTTGTGATTAAAATATCTGTTGGATCTCTTGGCCTATATGAAGGGTCACGTTACAAAGTTATGGTACAAGTGTTAGTTACACATGTTTAATGGCTATATTAGTATGAATCGTTTGCTCTTTGAGTTACCATAGTTACACTCTCTCTGTTACCCTTGCGCTTTCTGCCTGTTTTTCCAGATGTAAATTAGTATAATTGCTTGAATTATAGGTGCACTCGGATGCTGCCAATGAGGGCATTACACGACTGAACGAATAATTTGATTTGAATATTTGATAAAGTGATCAGAGAGGGGGTGATGTGTGGAGGAGGAGATGGTGTAACACACAGTTGCTGTTTAACAGGTGATGCAGTAACATTTACTCTGTCTCACAAAAGATGTCTGTACTGTGAGGGCTTATTTGCTTCTGAAAGATTAATTTACTTCTGGACTGACGCTGAATGAGTTGGCTTTACTAATTAAATGCTTAAATTAAAATTGAAATCGTTTCAATAACACAGGTTCCCCCTTTGAAACAAAACCTTTATTAAAATCGTAGCTGCAATCCTGTTTTCTTTTTTGCTATTGCTAATTTCGGGTCTTAGGATATTTGGTCGTTCATTTTGTCTGTTATTTTATCAATTGCACTGACGCTGTTGGTTGTTTAAGGTCCAATGCGAGTGAGGGCAGTCTTGAGAGTTGATAGTTTTGCTTAATATGTCAGCTAGTGTTTATATAGTTAGTTATAGATTGACTTGAACTTGTTAAGGCTTTTTGTTTTCATGCTGTTGCAATACCCCCATGATTGCTGGGTGAGAGGAATTTCAGCTTGATTTATTTTCTTTTGATGCATGTAAAGGTTGTGCAAGTGGAGCATAGGGTGATCACTTGATTTCATTTGGTTGCTATGATTAAATTTGGTTTGGAAATTCCTGCATGCATGCACATTTGAATATCTCTGACATCTTATATCGTTACTAGTTTAGCTAAAATTTTGGAATCTTTTTTGTCCTGCTGTCCTATTTTTCCTTTTTTATTCGTTAAATAGTTTGTCAAACACTTCCATGTTTTTTTCCTTTTGCATCGGATAACAAAGTAATATATAAATTGGGTTGCTGTAATTTAGAATATATGTACTTCAACTTGCAGATGTGATGCTGACCCCTCTGCGTTAGCCAACTATGTAGTGGCTCTTGTGAAGAAGGACAAACCGGAGAAGGAGCTGAAAGCTCTTTGTGCTGATCAGCTTGATGTCTTTCTACAAAAAGGTATGGCTTCACAGAAAGCTTTTATGCTAATGTGACAACATGCGGCTCTGATATTAGGCCTCGTTCTTCCAAATCAAGATGGTGGGGCAGAAGGTTTTCTGCCATCACTGAGCGAGCAAGAAAGAGACAGTTATTTTACGCCCCTCACACATGTCAGACAATAGAGGCTTTGCAGTTATGACGCAGATCCTCTGGAAATCACAGCTGGTGGCATCGTGGAGGTCAATGAGTGAACAGATTATAGGAAAATAGTGGTTGAATTTATGAGAATAAGGTCAGAAAATGATAATTATGCAAACATGTTGACCAAAAACATAGCTGGACATAATTTGTAATAACAGTGCTTTAATTCATGAAGATAAAGTGTGATAGCTGAGGCACATTAGCTTCCACTTTCATAACTGACAGTGAAAATTCTACTGGCAATGTTAGCCTTTATCCAAAAGCGTTTAAGTTGTAGCTTGACAGAGGTCAGATAACCTGAGAGAGAGAAATAGTGTGAGTAGCATGTAGAAAAACAAGCAGTGTTTACATGTTTACTGTTACCAGTGTTATCTCAGAAGTCATGTGTTACCAAGGGGGAGTTAGACTTGGCCATTCTGACACTATATGTAGTTTGATTCTACGAGAGGATATTATGTTAATAAAGCATCAGGTTTATAAGTGGTGTGGTGGAATTCTGTATTTACTGCATGAATAGAATTATTTACTTCTTAAATGTTGTATATTAAATGTGGACTGAGCAACTGAGCGATCTGTTTCTCATCTTCTCTTAGTGTGTACAGTGTCAGCTCACACGTTAGTTTTATGTACAAAGACCACTATAAATCAAGATATCCTCATTTCCCATATCTTTTTGCACAACACATTATCACACACATAAATCTGAGAAGTCTGTTTCAGGAGGAATAAAGGAAGATAAGCATGTAGATTCAACTCTGTGAAATGAGAGTTGCCATTGTTTCAGGGACAAAGCTGAATCAATTCTTTGTGAAAACAGCCACACAGATCCCAAGAAGGCCAGTATTTGACCATTTTTCCCATTGCTTAGAGGTATATAACAGATTGATATAGAAGTGTTAAGGGCAGATGTATTTGGTGTTAGCCTCGTATGCATACAAAACACTGTAATAAAAGGCAGAGATTTTTTTAGAATTCAGTGTGTTACAGAAATTTTACAACCTGAGGCAGCCAAAAGCTAGTCTGTTTTTTTAAAGAAAAAACAATTCCAAGGGTAAATGTAAGTTATACATTCAGTGATGCAATCTACTGTACATTACCACTGTCTACCACTTGTGGATCCCCAATATGGCCACCAGATGGAGTGTTATATCTTTTGGAAATGCTCTATACATCCTTTCATGTTTCTAGCCTCTGTTGTCAAACATCAACATTTAAAGCTTGAGTTGATTTGTGCTCTTCTTTTTTTGCACGGTTTAAATTATATAAACGTTTGACTTCACTTTTAATTGTGAAGTGTTGCAATCGGGGTAAGATGTGTACTGTGCTTTGATTAGGTTAGTGATTAACTCCCACAGCTCAGCAACTGCATTATCAAGGATTGAGACTTCTGGATTTTAAAACTGCAATTTGGTACCAAAAAAAAGCTGCTGATTGAAGTGAATCATTCCTGACTCCTAAACCATTTGAAAACATAATCACAACCGAAGGCCACGATGGAAGGTACTAATTCTGAAGGCCATCAGAATGTTACTAATACAGCTCATAGTCTTTGGAATAATACATTTAAGAATTACACTCATATTGAAAGGTTTAAATTATGTCCTTTAAGTACATGTTAATTTGTGGAAGTGCATTTTCTCCTTTTTTATGATGTTTTAAAATGTGCAGTTTAATCAGGCAGCTTTTCCCTGTTTCATGTCTGATGTTTGTGTGTGTGTTATTCATTCTCTGCCTATTATTCTTTGGGAGTATTTATTGCAGGCAGGAGAAAAGTGATGATGGCGATTCAGCAGGAATGTCAGTACTATTCACGCCTGAGGGCCCCTTTTTCTCTGTAATGGAGAACGGACAAAGCTGCACACAGTTCCAGTGAAGGTTGAATCTATTCACAAGCTCAATTTTGTTCTTGCAGAGACGGTAGGATTTGTCGATAAACTTTTTGAATGTCTGACGACCAAGAACTACCTGGGAAATCCTGCAGCCAAGGAAGCCCCTAAAGAGGAGATTAAACCACCTGCAGCCAAGTCTGACGTTGTTGAGGTGAGAATAGTTGGGAGAGAACTTGTTTGGCCACATTTGAACTCTGAGAATAAATAGCTTTCCTGTAAATGAGTCTTCTTACATATCAAACCATCTTTAAAGTGGTTTTTGGTAGTTTTTTTAGACATGGGCATCCTGTTTCCTTTTGAGGGTTGGTTTAGATCACAGCATTTGATGAAATGTTTATATCTGAAAAATCTCCTTCGATGATAAAAACATAAATAAATACAAAGTAGAGGAGAGTTTAAGTTGTCACTGAACTGTTTTTCTCCCTCAAGGTTGAAACCCCAGAGGAGGAGAGAGAAAACAGGCGAAGGAGAAGTCCTCTGAGGAACCGCTCTGACTTTAATGACTCAAGGTATGACTGTGGCTTTAAGGATTTATTTGTCCTCACCAAGCATAATACAGATATTGTGACATGTCACATGTGTAGCACTTACATTTCTGTCTCATTGTGAAATATGCACGACACCAGATCTTTTCTTGCTGCTGATAAAGGCCCATTAGTTTGCATGGTGTAGTTATGTAAAGATTTTGTGCCTAGATTTGCATGGGTAGTTTCTAACCCCACGAGTCCTCCTTTTAGCTTGATGAAGGCCCTGGTGTCCAGTAACTTGTCCCTCGGCTTCTAGTTACAGCAGATGGGACAATACAGTGACTGTTGTACAATGATTCAAAACAACAGTATAGTTTGCTTTAATGTGTAATTCTTTTTTTTTTTTTTTTAACTGTCACTGAAATAATGGTATTCAACACTGATTTATTCATTTGGCTTATTTGTACTTTCCTGAACGTTTTCTATGTAAAAGCGTCTGCTAATGAAACTCAGGATTTCTAGTAGATTTTTAATGCTAAGTGTAAGTAACTAGGTGTAAGTAACTCCAATGTTACTTATTCAGTAGTTATTGAATGTTATTATTCTAATTCATTAGTTAATGTGTTAACTTGAATCTGTCATGTATTTATGTTTTAATTTTGTTATTTAACATAAAACGGTAGTGCTTTTATAATGCTTTTTATAGTACTTTTAAAATACGGTAACTGAAAAAAATAGAACGGTAGATGGCAACGGTAAAGTAGCGGCAACGTAAAGTTAAGACACAAAACAAAAGATAAAAGGGCAAACGGGAGAGATGAATGAATTTAGCAGCAGTGGAGAGGGCAACAAGGTAAAACTTTAACTGTGTCTGATTGTCAATTTATTTTAAGTTTGGTGTGGGCTAATTTTAGCAATGTCCTTAGCTAAATTCAATGTGTTGATTGTCTAGCTCCTACGTTGGTCATAGGAGAAAGGGTGGAGAGAATAAAAAGTGTTAGACCATCAGTCCAGGCCGCTCATCATTTCGGCTGAGCCGCTACAAATTGGGATTATGCCCTTAGTGTTACTGCAGTTGTTTTAATGTAAAATAGGCAGATACATTTATTGAGCTTTTACTTACAGCATGCAGCAGCAAAAAGCAAATTACTGCATTGCTCTCGATCAGGTCAAATAGAATCGAGGGTTTTTACCAAAACGTAATAAGCTGTACATATAAAATGAAGGAAATAAAAGCCTCTCTCTCAATAACAGATTGTTTCAACTAAAAGCCTGCCTCTCTCTTTGGTACATTTTAAGGTTAATAGATGAACTAAAACACACGTTTGCTTGTGCTGGTTTAAGTCGTACTGGAAACCTGTTAAATATGCCTGTCCGACTCTCACAATTAAAACATGCACAGAGATAGTAGTTTAAATGCTCCAACTCGTCAACCACACAGGAGCCGCGATGACAGGAGGCGTGATGACCGCAAGCGCCGTGACTTCGATCGGCACGGGAAAAGCAGCAGCGACTCCCATCGCGAGCGGGAGCGACACGAGCGTCGCAGGGGGAGCCCCCGCGGGAGGAGCTACAGCCGGAGCCGAAGCCGCAGCCGGAGCAGGAGCGGCAGCCGGGGAAAGAGCAGGGACAGGGAGCACAGAGGAGGCAGAGGTGAGAAAGTTTGCCCCCACAACCAATGACAACAGCACAAGGGGAGGAGACCCAGGAGTGCAGAAGTTCCTGAATCTCTTGTCAGTGCTGTTGAACTGTGTATTAGTGATGCAGAAGTGTTGCCAGAGCCATCCTGGATGTGAGGCGCTTTAGATTGAGGAGAAGAGACTGAACAAAGTTCTGAATGTAGCTGATTGGATAGGTTTTTCTTTTGGATAGTTGGTCAGTGTTGCTGGGAGTGGTTAGGAAGAAACTAACAATGTGGACAGCTTTACAGTTGCATCAGTGGGGATTCAACAGCATGGGTTGGAATTGGCCTTATTACACACAAGGTTAATCTGCATATCTGTGTTTGGCGTGATGAGAGAAGTAGCTGTTTTTAAAGAGATCAAACCATGCAGAATCTACAGTACTGTAATATTTTCTCGAACTGTTCTTAAATGTTTTTCTGCTTGCCTTCAACAGATTTCAAGTCAAAGTTTGAGGTGGAGAGAAAGGACACCGACGGCTACAACTCTTCCGCCACATCTGGCTCCCAGCAGCAGCACCCGTCGCCTCTCCTGCCCTTGCCCACGCCTCCGCACCCCTTTTCCTCCTCTTCCTCATCATCCGCTGGAGTCTCTGGACCTGGAGGGGGTCCCGTGGCAACACCAGCTCACCTGCCAGACAGCACAACAGACAGCTGGTCCGGCTACTATGGCGCCCAGAGGCAAGATGGCGTTGGCAAGCCATTCAGCAACAAAACTCCTTCACTTAAACAGCGCTGCAGGGATTACGATGGTAGGACTGGAATTAATCTCTATCTTTTCTCATTTCCTGTGATTCCTGTTTTCTGTCAGCGCTTCATTTTTTGTTTGTTTTTTTTTATCTACTTTTTCTCTTGCTGAAACATTTTTTTCCTATATCTCAGAAGCGTTTATCTGCTATGCAACTTCAATTTTCGCTAGACTGTATATGAGAGATGTTATCAATGCACTTAAAAAGCAATCACAGAGAAGTTCGAGCCATCTTTCGGACTAAAAGAAAATGTTGATCACAATTTTCCAGTACATGGCATGGTGATTGTCAAGTTTGCTCTGGCTAGTGTGATCTCTTCCCATGAGGGTTTAGGGCCTTGTTTAGTCTCTTCACTAATGACCACTGTTTAGCACTCCCTCCTGTGTCCTTAGAGAGAGGCAGCAAAGCAAGGAGGCCTGCAGCCACCTCTACACAAGAGGCACAGGAGGGTCTAAACTTACCCACACTCCCTGAAGCACAGTGCTATCTGCCACAGTGCTCAAACACAACCACAAGGGACCTAGTTCCTTAATGAGACTGCATGGTAAATGCATGCACTGTGTGTCTTACCTGCTGTGAACTTAGGCATGAGTTTATCTTTTATTTTTCCTGTCATTGTTTTTTCTTTCTTTTCATTTGTTGTTATTTTCCTTATTGTTGCGTGTGTGTTATGTGAACAAACTTCATCAACTAATTAAAAAATGTGGTCAGATACTCAAGGGTGTCTGGAGGACAAAAGTAGATGGTGTATTAGCCTTTCTTCAATGACAACTGTACACTGTGTAAATGAAAATACATTTTAAAATAAACTTGTTTCTGTCTCTCCCTCAAACAGAAAAAGGATTTTGTGTTCGTGGTGACCTGTGTCCATTCGACCACGGCAGTGACCCCCTCATTGTTGACGATGTCAATCTACCGAACATGATCCCGTTCCCGCCCCCGCCCGTCATGCCCCCGGCTGGCCTGCCCATGCCCCCAATCACTGAGCCTCCCCCGCCCCTCAGGATGCCTTCGATGCCACCTTACGGTCAGCCGCCTCCACCGGGCGTCTTCCCCATGACGGGTAAGTATCGCCACCGATTTTGGTGCATGAATCGTAACTTCTAGAAATCAAATAGAAGTTGTGCTTTTTGATGTCAGTCTTAAAGCTTCCAGTGGCAGGTACAATTTTGAAAGCAACCAATCACCTGTGATTTCTACAAACCACTGCAGCCAATGCAAGAATACAGTTTATTCACCTCTTTAAAACTTTGTTGGCCTATAAGATACACTTCCCCTTTTTCAATGTGGTCACATTTTGTCTTTGGTCATCAAAGATCAAAGTGACTGAACTTTCCTATTCAAGTGTTGCTTCTAATTTTATGTGACACTTGTTTTTAAATACGTGGGGGAAAAAATTATAATAATTTAAATGATGCAATTTCAGTGCCTTGATTGGAAAGCATTTAGAAGTTGTTACATTCAAAATTAGGCTTTTTTATGTCGTATTTAACAGTATAAATTGTAGATAATGTGAAATTTTTAAACACTCTCGCAACATACGCTTCGCACTCAGAGAGAGAGTTGTCTTTTGGGGTTTTTTTTTCCTGTGGTTTAAGAACACAGCCTGTCTTGAGGCAGCTCTGCACTGAGCCTATCTTGCACACCATCCTGCCTTTCAGTCCCACAGTGACAAAGCAGCTCTGGTTTACCCTGTTTTGTGCAATTCATAATTTGCTTACTCACTGTTGTAGAAGTAAAAATCTGCATTCGATGCAAGTTTGGTGCATGGTTAAAAAAAAGAACACGATTTAGCTAAATAGTAATAGAGTGGACTTGTTTATTGGTTCACATACTGTACACACAAGGAAAGACAAAAAACAACAGTTGACATTTTCTATAGTTTGTATTTGCATCTCTTCTATATTGTATCATTTTGGAATGTTGCTGTGGCTCAAACTTTGCTATGTGTGTTTTATTCTGCGAGTTGCTTTGACTGTACTGATTGTTAAACTGTGATGGATATGCAGATATTATTTTCAGTCATGCTAGATTTATAGTACTATAAAGTTTAAGCATTGCATTGAACAGATGCTTCAGTTTCCTACCGCTTCCCCTTTGTTATATTAAAGCAGTCTGTGTAGCAGGAACAAAGTTAGTAGTTCAGACCACACACTCACTCACTGTGATATCTGCAATACACCTGAGGCATTAGCTTGGGCTTGTGTCTCCCTCAGGACCCCCGCTGATAGCAACCAGTGGGATCGACACCCCCAACCACCAATCTGCAATCACTTCTTCTCCTTCTATCGGACCGCCTGGTGTGGGACTGCCACCTACTCTCCCTCCTCCTCCTCCTCCTCCACCTCCTTCCTCGGCATCATCCGTGTCTCTTCGTCCCCAATATGTGCAGTCTGAATGTAAGCAGAGATTCTTTTCCTGTTCAGATTTAGGTCTGTGTGTTTTTGGAGGAGACATTGCTGCTGCTTTTAATTGTATTTTTCCTTTTCTTTATATTAAATATTCTTGTTTTTAACCTTTGGATTTTCTGTGTACTAAATTAGTTACAGCAGAATTAAGTTTACTTTACTATTAGGTACTAAAACGACTAAGCCAGGAAGAGTTACATTACTTGTTACAGTTCCTTTTCGTGTGTCTTTTTTCATTCATTTTGATTTAGTTTGTGATGTTGTCATGTGTGATTAATATGCATTTCTTCAGACTGTAGTAACAGCTATGGGCCAGAGGGTAGCACTGTTTATCAACCTTAGACGCAAAGTAGCTCTGGGAAGTTAACATCAACTCTCATTGTGTTGAGCGTTTCTCCTATAATTTATCCATCCATCCATCCATTATCTATACACCGCTTAGTCCTCACTGGGGTCGCGGGGGGCTGCAGCCTATCCCAGCTGACTTAGGGTGAAGGCAGCTCATGAATATTTCCAATTATACAGAAAATGTAAGCCTTTGTTCAAATGGAATGGGTTTATTTTTAGGAATGTACAACTCCAACTTTCCTTTTACCTCATTTCAACTCTGATAGCCAAAATCACATCTAGTATGAAGTGTCTCGTTTTCCCAGATTTACATGTTACAATATGCTGTTTTTCAGTATACAAATTATTGTTTTGTTTATTTTAATTATCTTGATGCTTTTATGTCAATTATTATAATTGTCATTTTATTTTCTTCCTTTGTGCATTTGTATATTTATAAATATTGTGAAACATTTTTATTTACATAGAGCACAACTAGTGTCACAGATTGCTCTCCACTGGACACATTTCAGCAATTTAATGTTCTGTGTTTTTTTTGTTTGTTTGTGGGGTTTGTTTGTTTTTTTTATTACATTTACAAGAGTTTTTGATTCCTTCTAACAATTTGCGTGTATATATTTGATTTTCCGCATTAGATAACTATGATCCAGAGGGCTACAACCCAGAATCTCCAGGTCTGACTACAGCAGGTCGTAACCAATATCGGCAGTTTATACCCCGTGTGCAGACCCAACGCTCTAACCTCATCGGCCTCACCTCCAACGAAGGACAAGGCTCCAGAGGTAGAAAGTATTTCCTTTGTAGTACTCATGTTTTTTCCAAAAACTTGGATCTTGGGAAATGGGCCGAAGACTGATTTTCTCCTGCTGCTAGAGTTATCATTGTATCTCTGTGTTTATCTTCCAGCTGCCAACATCGTGATCCAGACAGAGCCTGCCACTGTACCCAGCACTCCTGGAAATAATGCAACACGTTTTAACACGGAGCAAGACAGCAGGAAAAGAACCATAGGACCCAGCACTACTGATGGACCAGCAGCTAAAAAACCCTGGATGGACAAGTACGGATTCACAGATACACACACACACTTTGGGAAAAGTTTTTCTCCAAAATAATAAGTTAAATTTTTAAAGGTGACAACTCTTGCACACGAAGAAAATCTAAAATGTATTGTGTACATCAGTTGTTGTTTCGTAAAGAAATTTGAAGAGACGAGCCAGGTGAAATTTGATCAAATTGGTGCCTCGCCCCATTTCCCATTACTGCTACGGGAGCCCTGTTTCAAGCCAAGGTGACTTTAGGTCAGCAGCCTATCTTTTGTCTTACTTGTAGGAAGCAGGTGCACTCAGACATCCCCACGACTAGGATGCTATTCCATTGCAAATTCTAAACCTGTAATCCATCTTCAGTGTCAAGCAAGTTGACATTTAGCCTCCCTACAAATATAACCACTATATGGCTTGTAGTAACAATTTTCCTTTTGTTTTAGGCCAAACTTTAACAACCAACATAAGAACATCTTTCCCAAGAGGAATCATTATGTGAACACAAAGTTGGAGGTGCGTAAGATCCCACGTGAGCTCAACAACATCACCAAGCTCAACGAGCACTTCAGCAAGTTTGGAACCATTGTCAATATACAGGTAAAATGCCCTCTGTGTACATGTATGTGTATGTGTTGTTTGAAATTTTCGAAAAATATTTTGGAAAGATTGTCCACCACCAAGTTCATTAAGTCTAGCTGCACAGATGAATTTGTGTCGTCACATAAAGGCATCAAACCTGAATACTGTTCTCTCAATCCAGGTCGTGTTTGGCGGAGACCCAGAGGCAGCATTGATCCAGTACACAAAGAATGAAGAGGCCAGGCGGGCAATATCCAGCATCGAGGCAGTCCTCAACAACCGCTTCATCCGCGTGTACTGGCACCGTGAGCCTGGCACCAACGCCACAGGGCAGCAGGACCAGAGCGCCGGCATCCAGGCAGCCGGGTCGGCGCCCAGCCAGGCACTGCAGCACAGCAATGTGCATAAGGTCAGTATAAATAATACACACATAATACATACACAAGTCATTACATCTTTTTTTATGCTGTTGCTATGGTCTTACCTTTTTTTTTTTTTAAATCCGTCATTTGATTTTTTTTTTTTTTTTTAATTTACTCTTTTTTCCTTCCTTTTCTTGTCTCTGTAGGGGATTAAGCAGCACAATCCAGCTGCATATGTGTTGAATAAGACTGTACCCAAACATCACCTGACTGCAGCTGCTGGGACCACAGCTCCAGCCAAGCCAGACAGCCTGAATCCAAACACGGACACTGTCACTGTACGTTTTTATCTATCTTTAGCAGAATACATGTTTTGCGTGTTGTGTTTTTGTGCAAAGCTGATTAGGTCACCCAAATTAAACAGCTCTCTGAGACTGTACTTAGGCACAGTGGTGCACTGAGCTACACAGTAGAAACGCTAATATGCTGATGTTAAACAGGTGTAATGTGTAATCTTGACATGTGACATTGATTTATGAGCTGTCAGTAATTAACAATACACTCTTGTTAATGTCTGGGTATGCTGTTGTCAACAGTCTCATTCTGATGACCTAACCATGTCTGTTGTTCCCTCTGTGTCCCCACTTAGGTGGCGTCTGCACTGACGAACACCCAGAAAAGCTCCTACGCTTCCATAGCCCTCAAGTCATCGTCAAAGAGCCTTGGGAAAACGGGAAAAGCACTGGAAGCACAGGAAGCTCTCAAGAAGAAACAGGCATGTTGTTTAATTTGCTTGCGTATTTTGACTGCTTAAAAAATTGCGGAGCTCGGATTAACTAACCAACAGCAAATAGTGTGTTTTTCACCTTTGTGAATGTGCTTGATTTGGTGTTTTGTTTATTTGTTGTTTTTTTTATTTATAGGAGGCCTTAAAACTTCAGCAGGACATGAGAAAGAAGAAGCAAGAGATGTTACAGACACAGATTGAGTGTCAGAAAGTAAGATATATATCTTTGAATTAAATGTCTTCTACACTTTGTCACTTCCTTGTTTTCGTATCTTTTCACACCATCTTCTCTCTCGTTACTTGTCTTTCTTCTCTAAGGCACTGATAAACCGCCTGGAGAAGAACCGAGGTATGAAACCTGAGGAGAGAGCCAACATCATGAAAACCCTCAAGGAGCTAACGGAGAAGATTACCCAGATGCAGAATGAAATGAACCCTGCCTCCCAGGTCCTCCCAGGTGGCAAGCCTAACCACAGCCAGCCCAAAACCAAGACTGATGTAAGTTCAGGCTCTTCTGGCTTTAAATACGAGGGAGTGGTGCTTCTTGTTAAAAGAAAGGCTTCCACCAATTGGTATCATAAAGGTTAAGCTGTGTGAATTTGACAAACCAACTTGTAGTTTTATATTTCACCTTTGATTGACTCTCTATTGCCATATGTAGTGAATAAAATCATTTTTTAAATTTTGCTTAATATATAACCAGGCTCAGAAGGAACTGCTGGATGCGGAACTGGACTTTCACAAGAAGATGAGCTCTGGAGAAGACACAACTGACCTCAAGAGGAAACTGGGGCAGCTACAAGTGGAGGTAATACAGGGTTTTGTAGGGGTCTTTTTGAGCTAATTATTGATTCCGTCCATGGCAGTAAAATACATTCTGGGATTCCTCAGCCTAAACCAGATTGAAGTTGGCTGATCAAACACTTTTCATGCTGCTTAACTCTAAATGGCTTAGTCTAAACAGACCGAAAACACTTGCTAGCCTAGCAACATTAAGGGTACAAATTTAACTCAATTTAAGATGGCAACCTCCACGTTTACTTTGACCAGTACAGTATCCTTTCTCTCCAGAGTGGTTTCCACAGTTAAAACAAAGTCTAATATAATCTGCTGGTAGGTCTTGACTCACCAAAACTAAATCCATGTATTCCTCTCTTGTTCTGCGCCACCACCCACAAAGATGAAGACGATGAAGACAAACATTAAAGATCCTTCTATTGTTTAGTTTTAATAACAATCCATTCAGTCTATAACTATCGATGGTAAATATTTTAGCCCTTACAAGTAACATTAGCTACAGATATTTAAACTAATCTGTTCAAAAATAAATAAAAATCTCACCTCAGGTTTTCAGAGAACAATAGACAAATCGCATTAACCACATCCTCCCAACCGTTTTCCAAGTATTAATAGCATTACTGCAAGCTGTTGAACCACATGCTAACACTTGTAGTAATGATATTCATAATAATATCCTGTGTGCTTTTATTTTCCCATCTTGCAGGGTGTGCATGTCTGAGATTAGAGAGGAGAATATCTGTCAATATGTGGGGCAAGCTGATTTAAAAATCTGTTAGGATTTTAAAACTCCTGTAGTGTGAGCCTGGCCTAATGCTTACAGTGGTGTCGGAAAGCCCTGCACACACACAAAGAGCACGTACCCATGACTAATGATCTGAAAAGATAGCCAGCGCCACCACAAACAGGTCTACAAAGACAAACCACACACAAAAGCGATAGACGGTGACAGCATCTTGCATCATCAACATTTTTCTTGAGAGCTAAATTGGAGGATGTGATACCAAGAAATACCTTAGAGGAAGTTTGCAGATAAGATTGCCGTCGCTTCTGTTCTGCAAAGGCAGGAAAGAAACACAATCCGCGCACACATAAACAGTCACCAATAGAATTTCTAATACGATTTGTCTTTTTGTCCCCTGAGAGGAATAAATACCAAAAATAATAGTGCTATATTATTCAAGGTTCAAAGATTTGATTGTCATTTTCACTGCGTATTTTCATACACAAGAGAATTAAATTTTGTTTCTCAATCAGTGACTGCAGTGCAATTACAATATACAACTCAGTTTGTGCTTTTAAAGCCAGCTGATTGATTGCATTAGCATATAAAGCTCAAACTGTAAAGGCCATTTATTATAATGATGACATTCATGGGCTGAATGAGTCTCCATCAACTTTTAATGCATTACAACGCATTAACCCAAACTGTGGATGTCATTGTAACAACATGATGCACTGTTGGTCAGTGTGCAATATTTGGCACCATGAATATGGGATGTGCTGGAACACCAAGTCTGATTATTGGTGGCCCCACTTCACAACACAGCGGAAAGAATCTGGTGCCAGGAAGCACAGGACGCCTTGAGAGGAATCCATTCCTTGGTGGATCAGAGCTGTTGGCATATTAGACAGCGCTGGTCATAATGTTTTACATAGCTGTTATCAATAATAGATGTCATTTCTAAATTAATGATTGCGATAGTTTTAAGTCCAGTTTAGCACATGACTGTTGAAGCTTGTTCACTGATGTCTTACTGTTTGCTCAGAACAGCTCATGAGTTATTGCATTTCACAAAATCTCGTTGAGCTGAAGAGTAAGAATGTTTATTCTATCTTCTCATTTATCGAGTAGCTCTTATATTTATAGATATTGTCCAATAATTATTTACTACAGGTCATAGGACTTGCTCTATTGGTCATTAGATAATTTTTTTAATCCCTCCCCAACAAACACTCATGGCAGCACTTTGTTAGTCAGCTCAGACTGAGCCCGTATCACCTTTCCTGTCTAAACTCGCTGTGCACACGAACACAGACAACTGTGTCTCAAGATCAGGCTAACAACAAGACAGCTTTTGTTAGCAACACCCTGCTTCGCATGTTTTTTTTGTTTTTGTTTTTTTTCCCCCTTTAACCTCAGGGTCCTAAATTAGCTAGTTGTAAAAAATGCATACACTTCCCCCCCCTCCCTGCCCCCCCATCCATCCAAACCCAGACCTCCTTCTGCGCATTAAACTGCAGCCACTTAAGCAAGCCCAGAGGAGCAGCCGCTAACGAAGCCAAATCAGACACAAGTCCTACACTGATGGAGCCCCGTCTCATTAAAGTTTGAGTCGCTGGTCCTTGAAAGAAAATCGCGGGATGACAATTAAAGGGAGGAGGGAGGGAGGGACAAATGGAAGAGAGAGTGGTCGGGAGGTTGTGGAGTGGTTAGGAAGCGAGGAGATGTCGCTTTAAAAATGGAAGAGTGACAACTAATGGTGAAGGACAGAGAGTGACAGAGTACGAGACCATAGTTGACAATATAAAGAATGTTTGAGCCCTGAAGATCTGTGATATTTTGCTGTATGTTCTTAACTGTGATTTTATCAGGAACATGTTTACTCGACTATAAAGATTTAATCATTTCTTTGTCACTGTTGATAGTGTCCTGACATATTTGGTTTGACATTTAAAGCAGCAGAGCAGCATCAAAGCCGTTGTCTTGTTAGGTTTATTGCCTCTGGTCACAGTCAGGTGATGTCTGTATATTCTTGTCTGTGTGTACTGAAAAAAAGCAACACCACTTAGTTGCTGTGTAACATTAAACCACCTCCTCCTGTCCTCCTTTAGGCGACACGGTTGGGTCTGATCCGGCCCCCAGCGGGTCGAGGCCGGGGCCGAGGGAAGATGGCGGCGGAGCCCGGTGCCATGCACGTGGGTCGGGGCAGGAGCCGAAGCCGGGACATGATGGCTCGCGGCGGGGCCGTGAACCGCATGGTGGTTGACCACAGACCCAGAGCCCTGGCTATTTTAGGGGTCACTCAGGAGGAGAAGGAAGAGTTAATGCCTCACTTTGTGGTAAGAACATACATACATGTACAGTCGTCCTCAAATGTATTCATACCCTTCAATTAGAAAAGGCAAAATTCACAATAGTCACTGAAATAACTAGAAACTGAAAAAAGTAATAATAAATAACAAATTGCTAAATTATAATTTAGTGAAATAAGACATTGCTTTTGAATTGTGGTTGAAAAGAATCATTTTTTTTTTTAAATAAACTGTCCCAGACAAATTAGAGCTCTTTGCTGATGAGCAGTGGGTCAAAATCATAATACCTGTCAACAGGTGCAGAAGTCTGATTGAGAGTTACAGAAAACACTTGATTGCCTCAAAGGGTTGTTCAACAAAATATTAGTTTACGGGTCCCATCATGCTTGTTTGCCTGTTTTGTTGTTGTTTTTGTGGGGTTTTTTTTTGTTTTCTGTTGAACCACAATTCAAAAGCAACGTCATGATTTTCATTACATTTTAATTTATTATTACTTTTATCAATTTCAACTTACTTCAGTGACAGCTGTTGTTTTCCTTCTGTAATGAGAGGGTATGAATACATTTGAGGACGACTGTATACATATCTTGGTGATAAGTTATAAACTCTCCCAAAGATGTTTCGATTGGAAGTTCTGTCAACTCATGAGTTATACATTTGTTGATTCGTGTACTTCTGTTAAGTTAAACCATACTGATATTTCTTTATTAGAAATTTGGTGAGATCGAGGAACTCCGTGACCAAGATGCCACCAGTGTCGTCATGACCTTTAAGACACGAAGCGAAGCAGAGAATGTAAGTCCTATGATTCCAAATTGGATCTTCTTCTTTCTGCTCTCCCATCTCAAATTTCCTGAAAAAGTCCGAATATTTTATGCGGTTATACTAACTAATCAGTGAAAGCTGCAGTTCTCACTTGCCTCTCCTGTTCTGTTCTCCAGGCGGCCAACCAGGGAGCAAAGTTCAAAGGTCGTATCCTGCAGATTTCTTGGTACAAGCCCAAGACGCCCTCAGTTACAACAGAGCCAGAGGAGGAAGAGGCGAAAGATGAGGATAACACGGTACGACACATCGCATACAAACACACTTGATTCAGGGCTCAGCTTTGTGTTTTTTAGGAACATATAGTCAAGGAAGGAAGACGGTGTTCAGCACAACTTGAAATTTTAAGTGGGGAAACTTTTGGAAGTTTTACTTCTATTCACAGATTTTTTTTACTTGTACATTTCTTTCTGGTGCTTCTAAATTTTTCACTACAGCTCCCAATGGAAAACCAGGGCAAGCCTCTCAGTACTAAGAGCATCTTAGCCCCTTGAGTAAAACTGCATTACTGTCAGGTGGAATCCTTATACTGTATTTTCATGTTTTGAGTTACGTTTTTGAGGTTGTGGTCCTCGTAGTATGGGGGTAAGTTATGACTTTAAGTCCAGTCTCATCACTTTGATACACTGTCAAAAGGTAATCATTCTGAAGATATTTCTTTATGTACGGTGTAAATTTTTTGTTGCATCGACTCATAGCCACTTGATCATATATTTGCTATATTAAGCATGTTTTGTGTAGTTTGAGGGGTATCAGGAAGTATTTAATGCCCATGATGCGACCAATCCTTTTGCAGGAAAACTGGTTTGCTTGTACGATCTAATACATTAGAAATATTAGAAACAAGATAAAGTAAGGTGTGTTTTACATGGTAATGAAATCAAGGACATTTGAAAACACATGGCAGTGGGACAAAATAAAGCCATATTTGTTCTAAAGTGTCTCGTGTATAATGTCGTAATGACACAGTGGTATTTATTAACGAGCTAAAATTCTTCCCTTGTGACACAGCTCGTGAGTTTAACTGTTCAGAAATCATTCCGTTATCAGAAAAACATTACGCTAAATATTAGATGGGTGTTCTTTCATTCGAACAGAAGGAAGCTAGCTCTTATTTGCCCGGAGAGGAGGAGGAAGAGGAGGAGGAGGAAGAGGACGACGATGAGGACGACGAGTACGAGAGCCGATCTTGGAGGCGATGAAGAGATCGTCGTCAGCTGCTCCCTGGCAGAATCAGTGGTTTTCTGTTTTTCAATATAAATGAACTCACTTTTTTTTTTTTCCCTTTACAGTATTTTCAGACGAAGTAATTTTAGACTCTAATCAAAGTAAAAGCGTCTTTACTTTATTGTACATCAAAAGAAGTTTAGAGGGTCAGCAGTTTTTGTATCCCTCAACTAAACAGTTGTTTGAAACATCTCACTTTTGCTGAGAAAGATAAATGTTAAGTTGTTCTTATAGATAGAAAAACCTACGTAAGTTTCAGTGTGCTTACCAGATGATTAATATCAGTAATGCACAACATTTGTGTCTACTGTGAATAGGTATTTTTATACATACTGTATTTAAGCTCTTTTCTCACCAGTTTTGTAAAATCTTGTCCTCGGTTCAGGGACAGCCATTCCATCACCAATAGAACGTTCTCTGTTGCTACCAGAGAGATATTTATTTATTTTTCCACTGCGTAAATGCACTGTGCCGTACCTATATTGGCAGACTATGGTATGGGTTTTTGTTTTTTTCCATTTCACTTTGCTCGGTTTGTTTTGACCCACAATGTTAAATAAACGGAGCCACTAAAGCCCGGCACAGGAAGGCGCTGAGGCTACGCCATCACCATATTAGAGCCAGTGTAGGTACAGAAGGATACCAGTGCAATACAAAAACCCAAACTATGTTTACAAATTGCCCTGTCCACGCACGTCACACGCAGTCTTGTAGTGAATATTCAAATTTTTCCCCGCTTGTGTTTTGTTGCTCACTCAATGTCCAGTGCCACTCTGTGTAAATATACACCCAGACAGGGGTTCTACATTTTCTAAGAGTGTGTAACATTTTCACTTGTTCTATTCTGTCGCCTGCTCACTCAAAGGGCCGGACAGGACTAAAGATCAGATCACCCATTTCAAAAATGTGAGATCCATAGACAGGTGTTTGAATGTAATACTGAACAGTTGATTTTAAGAAATATATATATATATGTATATACATATACATATATATATAGATAGATAGATAATTTCTTTGCCTTACACAATCAGCAGATTGCTGACTTTTTACAGGATTTGTGATTTACTTTTGTAAATTTTGTAAATGCTTGAAAGAGAGAGAAATTACTGTTGTACTTTTTTTGTTTTGTTTATTTGCTTTTAAAACCAGTCCTCGTTCCTTCACTAAGTTAGTCATCTAAGAGGCATGTTTCTTTTAAAGAAAACGTTCAAAGCTGCTCTGAGTTGTGGATAACACTTTGTTGAATGACACTGAGAGTCATACACCTCACGATATTCATTTTGCATTAGTGCAGCTTTGTCTTGGCTCAAAACACATTCGTACACACAATACGAGTACAACCACAATGTGCTAGTTCAATGACAAATGTATATTTTGTGTTTTGCCTTCTTTGCATATACTGTATTTTAGAATCCTCAGGGTGGGAGGAATTCAATCTGTGGAAACTCATAAGGAAATGTGCTTGATGATAATCTGTTTTTCAGCTTCCCGTTCAACAAATCAGTGTTTACATGCAGCCTAATAAAGCGTTTGATTTAACATATCCGGTAACGTAACCATTAAGAATAACACACCAAAACAAAGGAGAGATCGTTTGCAGCAGTGCACACACTGCTGGGTGTTAGTAAGACATATTCACATGCATATTTCTGCCTGCGTGTGACTACAGCCAGAATTGGTTTCCTTTGCTCCCTGATGCACACTGCTACCACATGGAAACCATTTGAAAGACTTCAACCTGACTTCCTCCCACCTGCTGTGTCAGTAGTGCTCTTGTCTGGTTTGCATATCTCACTGTTGATACTCAGAAGCCTCCTGCCAGTGACCTCATTGTCCCATTGAAAGCTAAAGTTTTCGTCTTCACTGTCACCCGTCAGTCAAAATGAGGCATGTGGTGAGAGACTGAAGCTCCCTTTGGCACTTTGTATTTCATGTGATTTTTTTCTTTTTTTTTTTTTTTCTTTACATGAGGTCACTGACGGGTTCAAACCTATACTGGCGAGGTTCTTGCTTGTTGAAGTGAGGATTCAAGAGAAGGTTTTCTCCCACTTTTTGTACTATCTTCTGTATGCTACTATCACACAATAGTGTAAAAAATGTAAAATGTTTATTGGATAATAGTTTTGGATTTGTTACTGTTTATATTTGCAGGATGTGGATGTATTTTCTTCATGTATTTTGTTTGTAAAAATGGATTTCTAATTTACTAGCATGTTTGCTTTTGCCAATAAAGATGGAGGAATGGGGTGCTTGTAAAAACGATCAAAAAGAGGAAAAAAAAAAGAAAAGAAAAGAAAAAAAAGGTGTTATAAATTGGACAGAGAGAGAGACAAAAAATGACCTTTTTGATTTAAAGAAAGAAAATTGACTAAAAAGATGTCAGCATTGGCAAAGGGGAAAAAATGCAAGCAAAAGCATTCCAGAAAATATTACCTTATACTCCTGTGTGGTCTCCTTCATTTTGCATGTGCTCACATAAAACATGTTTGTGGATATCAAAGGTTCTCAGTAAATGATATGTAGTCTGTACACTTCAGAGATGGTGCTTACATGTCAACATTATTCAGATATGAGCAGTATTACATGCTTTTCAAAGTTATAGAAGGTCCATCTCTCCATCTGAAGCACAACATTTTTTCATTTTCAAAGTATTTGAGTACAGCAGCGCATTAGAAGTTGCTTGTACTGGAATTTGCTAGAATGCACTTCAAATGCTGCTTACTTCCCGCAGTTACTGACTTCTCTTTTGAAATTATACATATTAATGCCCTTTTTAACTGTATTTTAGAGTTAAGGATGGAAGATAAAGCTCTGCAGCTCAATCAAGACAATAAGAGAGGAACCGAATGTGAAGCTGGAAGTACCATGATTACACCATTTTTTATAAAGTCTAGGAGTCATATTTGACACAAACCTCTTAGAAAAAATAACTAAGAATGTTTTTTTTTTTAATCATTTAATTCAATTCAACTCAGATCTGACTATTATGATGAAAATATCTCCACTTCAACTGCTGCAAAACTCGGCTGCACTTATGTGGACTGAGGCAAGAGGTCAAGTTACACCCAGCTTACAGTGTCTGCACTGGCACCCGCCTGCTTGAGAACTGATTACAAACTTTTTCAAACCCTCAGATTTTGAGGTAAAGGTTTTTCATTTGTACCTGAAGTCAGAACATTAACCCACGATGAGGCATCCTTTTGTTACCTCTCTGGAACAGCCTTCCTGAAAACCTGAAAGAAGAAAAGCATGTTTTAAACATGAATTATAGATATTCATCTTTTTCATAGCAAACTCTATAAATACCATTTTTTCTTCTGGATTTTTTTAAAATTAATGTATTAATTTTGTTGTCATTATAGGTAGTTTGTAAAAGCTTCAATTTATTTATTTCTATTAATTCATAAACTCTTGACAAACATATATGTTCTATGACTTTTTATTATTATTATTTTCTTCTACTACTTCAAATACTGCCTTGTTGCATTTATTTATTTATGACAGCGTTTTCTCAGTTGATTCACTTCAATCTGTTTTTATTGAGTCCTTCATTTATAACATAAATTGACTCATTCTATTGTATTTGTTCTGTAAAGCACTTTATGGTTTCTTGCTTTTGTATGAAAAGTGCTTCACAAAGTCTGACTGATTGAAAGTGACATGAGTTGCAGTACTTAGAGTTTACCACCCCGTGACCCCGTTTGACGTCTTCATTCTTTATTGATTCTTAACACTCAATGTAGTTATGATCAAGAGAAAAATACTCTTAAATCAATCTCCTGCCACGAAGATAAATCACATGAGCAACAGAGTCTGAGACGAGATGTTCTATTGCACAAAAATATCAGCTTCTGCCGTATTTATTATTTTCATATAATGGGACAGGTTGAAGTGTGTCATCATTCTTATACCATGTCCGCTTGCCACAGACAAAACCAGGAGCCGTACTCAAATTGTCATTAAAGTTTTACAGTTTGTTTGGTGTCAGTTCAATCCATGGCTTCGTCATGTTCACCAGAGAAACTCAGCAAACTGTTGTGGTGATTTTAACAGAGGCCTGCCTAGCCAATCAAAGACAATGTCAAGTATCCAAACCACCTGGATTCAACAACCTTCCTTTGTGTTTCTAATAATAAACCAAGCTTTCACGGTCACGGACAGTCGCTTTGACACTCATGCCCCCAAAACAAATCCCACCACATCACAGTGACTGTTGCCGAGTTAAATCACACCACCCAGCCACTGCTACATATTAAAATATCCCTGAATTATCCATGAGCATTTCTTACTTTAGGAAGTCAAGTGAAAACACTCTGAATCTGTTTAACTTAATGCAAGAAGTTTGGGGTTTTCCCCGGGGGAAGGGATTTTAAACCGGGGCCTTTGACAGCGCACTGTTCCTGGGACATCATCCCATGGCGACCTGGTTACTGGGAGGTGAAGGAAGAGCCACTGGTAGAAAAGAAAAACCCAACACTGCCATTAAAAGTTGTTAAAACATATAGATATACAAATTAATAGAAATAATTTATCAAATGTTGTAAAAAATCTTCTATGAATATGACATGGTGACAAAATTACAATAATATAATTTTACACATAGAACATAGCATAAAAAATCAGTTGAGTGACTGAGTAAAAATTATGATTATGTAAATGATGGCAGATGTATTGTGTGCACCCAAAATAAAAGAAAAGACAGCTCTGGGTTTGGATGAATATGACATACACTCAATTTTTGTCAGTATTTTTAATAGAAGTAATCAGTGAGGATCAAATTTTGCTGCAGATGAAGACATAAATACATTTAAAACACAACAGGTGTATTTGATACAGCTGTAAAAAATTAATAAAACCTGCTCATGTTGTTAACAATTAGTTGAAGAAAATACTGTCAGTCAAGTCCAACCGAATGTAGTTATCTGTATATCATTAAAAGTAAGCTGCTGATTTAAGTATTTACTGAAATGACTCATCACAGTCAGTAATAAATGCTGTTAGAGCACATCTGGAGGAACGGAGCTGCAGCTGTATACTGGACAGATGTGGGGGTGAACAAGAAAAAAAAAAAAAAGGGTATCTATCACATGTGGCCACAAATACGACAAAGCTCTTTGTGTCAGATTCAATCTTTGGAATATGAAAAGCACACAGATGACAGAGTCGTAAACACTGATCATTAAATTATGAATGCTCTTTGCAATACAGCAGCTATTAAGAAGAAAAGGAAGAATGGTGAGAAAAGGGACTTAGTGCTCTCTTCAGGATAATGCCTTTTAAATTCAGTGGGACTCACAGACAGATTCTCACATCTGACTCATAGGAAACTAATGCACAATGGGACATTTCTTTGTAAAGACAGATTTTTTTCTTTTTTTAATGCATTTTGATAAGAGTATATGGTTGAATTTCACATGTAGCAACCTCAGTTTAAAACAAAAAAATCAAAGGTTTCACAGATGAAAGCATTCAGTCAGTCTAACTTTTTTAAAAGGTCAAAGTCCCCCACTCAACATGCATTTTCATCACTGTTACTTTTCTTTTTTCTTTTTTTTTTCTGCTGAAAATACAAAGTTTCAACTAAAAATCTGAGTTTAAGAGGTGAACATGAGGGCATGATTTGACATCACAACCAGACTGGAAACCACTCCAACTGGCAGCTTACAGTGTGGAAACTTGAAGCCTGCATGGTACAACCTGTGGGGATGACCATTAGTTGATGTAAAAAAAAAAAAAAAGCTTGTATCCAGAAGTTAATTTTTCAAATTAAAATCACTTGTTTGTTCATATATAAGGAAGGACCTTTTCTAAATGGAAAAACCATGTCAGACACAAATATGATCAAAGCGCGTTTTGCATGTGTTTAAACAATCCTGGAGAGGATCTTTAAATCATCAGTCTGTGCTGGGTGATGTGGCTGCAACGTGCACAAATCCGAGTTAAGGCCCACAGGCCTGTGTCTTTGCTTTCTCTCCTGTGCAGGTCTGAACGTTTGGCTGCAACAGGTTCGCATGGTGAGAAAAGATCTTGGCTGTTTTAATCTGCGTAATGAATAAGAACATGCCAGCGTGGTAATGGATGCCTGCCACCGCGCTGCTAAATTATTCAAAGTCTGCGGGAACCAGAGAGGCGGCCGGCAGGATCGGATGGACCCACTGTGTCATCAGCCCGCCTCTGTCCGCCTGGCTCCTCTTTCGGCCCGTCCACCGCGGCCTCATGAGTTTTAACCAGGCGGCCACATGAGAAGTCTGTAAAGCAGCCCCAAGAATGGGCGTTCACATGGGCCAAGGATGTCGGGTCAACTGGTCAGCAATCTGCAGGCCTTAGATACAGTTTGGAGCATGTAGGGCCAGAACTAGTCTTCTTTTGTCCACACATCCATCCATCTGGTTCATTGTTTAACGCTGCTGCGCGGTGCTGCGCTGTCCGTGGTGCTGAAATCATTAGAACACAGAGGTCATGGTGCCATTTTTGTCACACTAAACTAACCCCCAATGCTGTATAATATATGTCCTAATGGAGTTGGCTGTGCAAAGCCTCTCACTCTGCATGCCAGCTTGTACTTTGTTAACATTTGACCACATCCTGAGACGAGCTGTGCGTAAAACCTGCCCTCAGACCGCCTTCCTTTCAACAGAAATGATGTTATACAAGTTATAGGAGTTGATGTGATAAAGAATGTTGATATCCCTGAATAAAAAAAAGACACAAATTTCATCCAAAATGGGGGGGAAATTGTTCAATCTGTTGATGAACCCCCTTTTGAAATAGTGATTTTGGTTGAGTTTATTTTTCGACGCTTGCGCACAGAGGCCACAATTTTCGCAACTTGTAAGTTGAGCAGAGGAGCAGGTGGGAGGGAAGGAGGAGGAGGACGAGGGAGGCTGAAAAAGGAGGAGGAGGGGAGGAAGAGGGAGCGAGGGATGCCGGGAGGCGCTGCCTGCTGTTAACAGCTCAGTCTGGTGAAGGAGCGCAAAGGAGCTCTGTGGCTGTCCGCTGCCCGCCTTTCATGTCAGGGGCCACACTGCGTGAGAGGTGCTTGCATGGAGGATGATGATGACCATGAACGGCAAGCAGCATTTCTCCATGCACCCGGCTCTGCACGAGCCCAAGTATCCCGGCCTGCACTCAGGCTCGGAGGGCATGCGCAGAGTCTGTCTGCCCGCCCCGCAGGTACGTTCAGGTCGAGGGGGGAGAATGTGGCTGGAGTGTGGCGGGGTGAGAGGAGGGAAAAATATCACACTGGAAATGTCTGTAAAGTTGATTTGACAGGACTTTGTTCTATCCGCTATCTCTCCCTCTCTCTCTCTCTGCTCTGTCTGTGTCCCCCCCTCTCTCTCCCCCACCTCCCAACACCCCCCCTCCTCTCCTCCCCCCCTCTCTCATCCACATGTCTATTCAAGCAATGCTCTTGCTTTCATATTAATTTTTATGACCTGCGCTTTGAGGAGGGTTCTCTCCTCTCCTCGGCGCTGCTTGCCTTTGGAAAATGTTTTTTAGATCCTGAGAGCTGCCTGACAGAATTCCCCACTGACTCCAGTATGCGCACTCTTGCTTGCAGCTGCAGGGCAATATATTCGGAGGCTTTGATGAGAGCCTGCTGGCACGGGCAGAGGCTCTGGCGGCTGCTGACAGCATTGTCTCTCACGGCAAGAGTCACCCGTTCAAACCAGACGTGACTTACCATACCATGAGCAGTGTCCCCTGCACTTCAGCCTCCTCTTCTTCCTCCACCACCGTGCCCATCTCCCACGTTCCCTCCACCATCGCCTCCCACCATCACCACCACCACCACCTCGGACAGACCCTGGAGGCCGGGGACCTCCTGGACCACCTCTCCACCAGCCTGGCCGTCACCGGGATGGGTGCTCCGGAGCCTCCGGGGATGACCACGACGGCGCACCACCACCAGCACCCTCACCACCACCTGCAGACCATGGGGCAGCTGCACCAGGCGATGGCCAACATGGCCCACCCTCACTCCCTGTCGGTGCACGGCGGCATGGCGTGCGTCAACGACGTGGAGTCGGATCCCAGGGAGCTGGAAGCCTTCGCCGAGCGCTTCAAACAGCGGAGGATCAAACTCGGCGTGACCCAGGCGGACGTCGGGTCGGCGCTGGCCAACCTCAAGATCCCCGGAGTGGGCTCCTTGAGCCAGAGCACCATCTGCAGGTTCGAGTCCCTCACCTTGTCCCACAACAACATGATCGCTCTCAAGCCGGTTCTCCAGGCCTGGCTGGAGGAAGCCGAGGCTGCATACCGGGAGAAAAGCAGTAAGCCGGACCTTTTCAACGGGAACGAGAGGAAAAGAAAGCGCACTTCCATCGCCGCGCCGGAGAAGCGCTCTTTGGAGGCTTACTTTGCCATCCAGCCGCGGCCCTCCTCGGAAAAAATCGCAGCCATCGCGGAAAAACTGGACCTGAAAAAGAATGTGGTTCGAGTGTGGTTCTGCAACCAGCGGCAAAAACAGAAACGAATGAAATACTCTGCGGTGCACTGAGGTTCACACATCATGAATAAAATAGCCTACTACATTTTTGATCGAGTGATTAATAATAGCCTAAGTAGCCTAACTAACAGGGATTTATCAACAGCTCTTCACGTCTCATCCGGGATTGTCTCCAAATAGAAAAAAAAAAAAGACTTTAACCTTAATTTTTCATTTCGTGTCACTCACTCTTCATTGTTGCACTTTTTTTTTTCGATTTTATTAAATGTGGTATAGATCTGTGAGGAGGGTGATTTTGATGTTGTTGATTATGTATCTTGCACACACTAATTCTCAGCATTTTCACCCTGACAATTTGTCACATTCAGGGATATGAACTCATTTTTTTAATCTATAAAAAAAAGGAGTTTAGAGGCTACATTCATGGGCTGAGGATTTAAATGATGCTATGTGAAGATAGACTCTTTGAAAAGGAATTTGTGAAGAAAAAAAAACAGATTTTTTTGGACGTTGGTTCAGATCAGAGTTCGTCCTCCACATCACTGGCTCATACATGTACACCATCATATCTTGAAACATGTTTTCACCTATTTTTTATCCAAATGTGGAGACTTTACTGGAATATGAGGATAAGGAGGGGGAAAAAAGTCACTTTTTAAACCACTATTTTTGCAAATGAATCTGCTTTCTTCGTGAACTGTGTGGTGGTAATTTACGCACAAAAATAAGTAATTACTCTTTCACAAGGTATGGCACTCTGAGTCTATTTATCTGAAATTATTTAAAAATAAATGGAAATGGCACCGTCTTATATGAGGCACATCCGTGTGGCGTTGGCTGCTGCTATATTTTAGTATTTTGATGTGTTTTTTTTGGAGCATTGCAGGTGAGCTGTATATATTGATTATATAGCCCAGCTATATACAGTGCGCATATAGGCCTACATCACCTATAAGTATTTATTTTTTCCTCTCACTCTTGATTTCACTTGAAAAATGTGTGAAGTTTAAACTTAATAAATTATTGGTTATTTTCTAAAAAAGAAAAAAAAAAAAGGAGCGAGTTTATTTTTTGTGGGTTATTTTAATCTTGAGGCCGAGGCCTGTAAATGTGACACATGAACTGCTGATGGACTAAAAGGGGGATTATCAGCGCATCCTGAGACGCACCGATGGGCGATAAAATCTTTGTAAACTGTTTGTTTTATGGGACCTCGCTAGACTGTTTTATTTATAAATCCCCAGACCTCTGCTGGGATTAAATATGTATCGTCGTATATGATACAAGCAGCACAGGAAAAGAAAAAAAAAAGAACGAAGGGGACTTTTCTATTTGTCGCAGTAATTTTCACACGGTGGCGCGCAGAACTTGTGTCCCTCCACACGCCGCTAATGGCCCCTTTCTCTCTAATTAGTGCAGTTTTAATTATGGATGCCCTCGTGTCACCGGGTTATGTCGTGCATGGGGTTTGAAATTATTAAGTAATGACGATGCAATATTAATTATATATTGGTATAAAACGAAGTAATGTGGAGGAGCTGGGAGTAGAAGCCTGACTGGGAACACTGGGGACTCTGGGGAGATACTGGCTGCACCACAGGTTGACAAACGAGGAAATTAAGGTGTATTTTTCTTCTTCTCTTGTTTGGTTAAGTAAGTATATTTTCCCTTTAATATATTTCATTTTTTTTTTTTTCTTTTTTTTTTTTTTTAAAAAAAATAAGACAAAAAACATATTTTATTTATTTGCGTAAAGACGCACAGCTTTACGCATTTAGATTCGCATCCAAATTATTATTATTATTACTATAATTACGGTTATTATTAGTATTATTATTACGTATCTTTCCAAGTATTTTAGCAAACTGGTTCGAGGCCGACTCCTTTTTTTTATACTGCCCAAATTAATTTTACTCCAAATTCATGATCAGTCTTCTCTCTGTGCAGCATAACCGCTAATACCAATGATCCTATTCTCTTAATAATAACCAAAGATTTCTTTAAAAATAATGATAAATATATAGCAAATAAAATAAAAAGCTTCCTCCGGAATCTTCCCACAGCCGACATGTCCTGCGGTTGTGTGATTTTCCCTGTGAGACTGTCGGCCGGTTGTTGGAGCCATGCAGGGGATCAATACTTTGCATTTACGCGGAAACGTTTGTGGCTCTTATTAATAATCTCTTTGATGGTGAGAGATGATTAATCGCAGTCTGTGATTAATGGTGTTAAATGTGACTTTGTGAGTCAAAATGCAAACCTTTATTGTTGCATTGAATACACCTCTCTCTCTCTCTAAACTGTGCCACTTTTTTATTTCTAAAATCTGGACATATTTCGTTTTATTTATTTATTAAAAAAGAATGACACCAACAAAAACTCGATTTTTCTGTGCGCGATATGCATATGTTCCTGACGTAAATGCAAGGTTAAAAAAGGAGCTTGGCAGTGTGAATAATTGATCTTTGTAATACCAGTATTGATATCATAACCTGCTCGCTATGTGGTAAGTTGAGCTGCAGACTTGTGCGCGCTGGCAGCATGTGGCGACTGAGGGCACCTGAATTATTCAGCAGCAGCTGAAAGGTATATTGCAATTTCTCATGCAATAACCGAGGTGTGTGTCAGGGCGTCAGTTTGTGTATTATCTGTAGGACATATTTAGAGAAAGAAAAAAAAGATGTTCAGCTACAAAGAAATGAATTGGTTGAATTATAGAATTAAGACTGTGTTTAAGGCAGAAAACAAAGAGACAAAAGCAAACAGACATACAAAAAAATAAATAAACAAGGATAGAAAAGGGTGTGAGAGAGTAGAGATTGGGTGTGGGTGTGTGTGTGTGTGTGTGTGTGTGTGTGTGTGTGTGTTTACTTGAGATGTTTTCAAGCAGGGAAGAGCCCTTTTGACAGAATGAGGATGAAAGCTGTGTTTAATTGCTGAAGAATGCATGCACATACACACACACACACACACACACACACATGGTCTCTCTCTAACCACACATCCGCCTTAACACACACACACACACACACACACAGACACACACACACACACACACACACACACAGGGTGGCTGTCATCCATGGGAGCAGACTGAGGGAATGTGAGGGGAGGGCTGGGAGCCAAGACACCCCAAACTCAATAATTCATCCGATGCCAGTAGCAACAAATGAGCATGTGACCAGAGCAAAGGAAGACAGCTACCTCTGCGCTCTCTATTAGTCACCTTCTATTATCATCACAAGCCAAACCTGCACAGGACCAACCCACACTTCTACACACACATACCTGTGTGCACCACAAGCACGGACACACACAATGAGATTGTGTTACTGTCGAGAAACTTGAGGCCAAGGTGATGGGTGTCTTTTTAAGGTGTAGCTTCTGTAGCTCCTGTTGCCTTCTCCCTTCTCTACACTTTAGTGTGTGAATCCACATTATTTGTGAGTTTCTATTCAGCTATTTTATAGTGGGGGGGAAAGCAATGCGAGACAACCTATTGTTCAGATGAAGACCTTAGAAATATTTCATCAACATATAAAACAAATCATCTTGTTTTGCAGCAAATTAAACTACTCAACCAGCTGAGGCACTCTGAAAAAATGTTAGGCAATTACAATGTTTAGATTCTTATCTATGGTGCAAATTGGAGCCATCCTGAGCAACAAGAAGAGCAAGGAGTCCTGCAACAGATGATAGGAGCCTCACAGAGCCCTGATCTCAACACATCAGAGTCAACCTTGAAACACACGAAGAGACAGAAGACACTAAAGCAACCTGAATCTACATGAGCCTTAGCAGCTTCTCCAAGATGCTTGGGGCAACTTTTCTTTTTTCCCATTTACTACACTTTGTATGAAGTTAGCAGATAAATAATAAACGGAAAATTATGAAGTATCAAATTGATTAATTCCTGTGTCTTAAATGTGTGTGTGTTTTTTAAAATCGTTGTGTACTGAATATTTTAGGTTTTGGACATGTGATCAGACAGTTTGAGGACATCACTTTGGTCAGTAGGATGAGCCTGTGTTGGGCATTTTTCACTGTTATCTGTGATTTTACAAGTTACCTCACTCAAATCAAATAAATAATCAACATTTAACATCTTAGGACCCGAGCTCTTGTTTGATATGCATTTTTATTCTTTTCTAGAATTGAAAAAAAAAAAAAGTATATATATATAAATATTTAAATACAATAAAAAATATTTTTTTAATATAAAAAATTATAAATAATAATAAATAACAATAATAAGACTAATAGTAATAATAAAATAAAATAAAAATTAAATACTGTGGTAATATAACCCAGAATGTGATGTCCTCGCATGTGGATGCCAGGTCTTAAGAGGTTAATGAAGTAAAACAAAATTAGTCACAACTAAACTAAACTTGCCTATAGCATTTTTAATGATTATAACTACATCACAATCTCTCCTCATCACTAGATGCAATTAAAACAAACAATTAAAGAAAAAGCCCTGTATAGCTTTCACTGACATTTTTATTTACTGTATCAAATAAATTAAATCAGAGACTTGGTGCTAAAAGAAACACACATCTATGTGCATTAGTTACTCTTCTACAATCTGACATTGCATAAGCAGAGAGATCAGGAAAGTTCTGAGATGGAAAAACTGTGTTTGAGGTCAAGCTGTCTGCTCACTAACACACTGTGCATTATGCAGAGACGATTGAGATGTGAACACACACAAAAAGAGAAAGAAAGAGAGAGAGAGCTGTCCATGGTAACACACGAGAGAGCTAATCGTCGATATTTCAGTACATATTACAAGCGTTCAACTCCAATATTGCTTTCACTGAGCTCTGCTGAAGTGTATATTGGCGCTCCAAATCTAAAAATACAAAATAAGAGCATGGAGAGGACAAAGGAGGAGTGTATATTAGAGACACTCACAGAAACTCACTTATATGCTTACTTGCTTAATTCATTCAGCGGGTCTGAAGAACAGTATTATACACCCCATTCATTATTCAAGTCCTCTCCATTATCAAAGTGCCCAGAGAAATAAGACTAACCCAGCCAGAAAT